GAGCTCAGAGTAATCCCAGATCTGATCATGTGGTCTGCGGCCCTTCCCACAACCTCAAGAAACATAGAGTAAAGAGAAAGCTGCATACCAAAACATACATATACAATACAGTAAGCAAACAGAATCATACAAAACAAATTACATGGGGAAGCTTGAAGAAGGTTGCTATTTCCAACGGATACAGTTAATTAATACAACAAAGGAAAATGAATTAATACAACCTATAGACAGTTGCACAAAACTTACACTTTAAACTAATTAATTCAATTGTGTCCTCTATGAAACTATTGTAAAGACCTCAGTAAAGCATACTCCCTTTGTTCTCTTCTGTCAGATTTTCTTTTTGGTAACTGTTCAATAACAAACATTTAAATACTGTATTCACAACCAAAGGTATCAATTTATCCAAAATATCAATGGAAAACAGCACTTGCCTCAGATATGGAAAGTGACTGCTGTGCATGTGAAATTTTAAGAACATGTGATGCGCTATACGACTTGATGTATGAAATGAATGTATAAACCTGTGAAATGCTGTCTCTGAAATGGAAAATCACTTAATTACATGTCTCACATGATTGGGTTCACTCAGTGAACCTCGGAAAATATACGGAAGAGGGAATATTAATTTTCAGACATAAATAAAAGTTATAAGGAAAGCTTGTGTAGCCCTGTATAGATCTTGTACCTGAGAAAATTGTCAATAAAGCGCTTGGGGAAAAAGACAGCATTTAAAGGAAAACATTTAAACCCAGGTACCCTAACCAATTGTACAAACACAGGTTCCAGAGGGCAGCCTGGAGAAAAAGAGATAAGAGATGATAAACTGGCTACAGCAGAGTTCAAAAGACATAAATTGTCTCTGATATTTCTGGGGAGGGGGCGGGCGAGAATTGAGGAAGGGCAATTCAAAAATAAAACTGTTTGTGATTCCATGTTCCAACCAGATGTTCTGTACAAAAAAGATACACAGGGCCTGAGGCTTGTCTATCAGTCTTTAACTAGATGCTGGGTTAGGTGGACTTTTTGGTCTGACCCAGAAGATCTCCCTTCTTTTTTAAGGAATAAATTATATTTGATGGGGAAAAAAACAGAGGGATTTGACTAATATAACCAGGACCAAGTGTTGGGCAACCTTAGGGAGTTACGGGCTGGAGATAACATGGTGAATTAGTAATTTCCTGGTTTGTTCACCTTTCCAACTACAAAGTTTGGGTCTCATCTGGACACATTGCAGAGATTCAGAATATCTATGGGCAGGTGAGATCCATGGGCTAGTAGTTCTCTTCCCTAGACAGTGAAGCTTTTTTTTTTTCCATGTCAGGAGCGACTTGAGAAACTGCAAGTCACTTCTGGTGTGAGATAATTGACTGTCTGCAAGGATGTTGCCCAGGGGGACACCAGGATGTTTTACCATCCTGTGGGAGGCTTCTCTTATGATCCTGCGTGAGGAGCTGGAGCTGACAGATGGGAGCTTACCCTGCTCCCAGGATTTGAACCGCCAACTTTTCAATCAGCAGTCCTGCTGGCACAAGGGTTTAACCCATTGCTCCACCAGGGGCTCCATTCCCCTGCAAATAGTGGCATGCACCATTGTAGCTCACAGCAGATGTCCTTAGTAGGAACAGCTTGAAGAAGTGTTAATCAGGAGCAATGGAATCAGAATTAGAAGAGTTAGAATGGCAGTGATGGAAGAACTGCAAGGTGTGTGTAAAATTGTGCACAATTTTAAGATAAATCTGTGTTTGGATAACTATCTCATGCTGGTGCCCCTAAATTCCTGGCCTGCCATTTGGATTAGCATATGAGCTGCTGAACTTGCTGACCGAAAGGTCGCTGGTTCAAATCCAGGGAGTGGGGTGAGATTCCGCTGTTAGCCCCAGCTTCTGCCAAACTTGCAGTTTGAAAACATGCAAATGCAAGTAGATCAATAGGTACCTCTCCGGCGGGAAAGTAACAGTGCTCCATGCAGTCATGCCGGCCACATGACCTTGGAGATCTCTATGGAAAACGTCAGCTCTTCGGCTTAGAAATGGAGATGAGCACCACCCCCCAGAGTCGGACATGATTGGACTTAATGTCAGAGGAAAACCTTTACCTTTACCTTATCAGGTTCTCCAAATGAGCAACTTCACACTCGAAAAAAAATCTCAGGTTAGAGGAATCCTAGTTCTGATACTTCCAGCTTGCTAAGGATCATGAATGATATTCTAGGACTAGGTGATTTGTTGGCATGGGATGTACACAAAATAGTGCATGTACATTCTCTATTGCAGGTCCCATTTTAACAGTCCTACTGCCCTCCACGCTTCTGCCTTTGTGCTAATGGCAGAGAAGGTGGCCCAAACGAAATCTCAGGCAAAGCTTAAGAACCAGTACTCCAAAAGCCATTATTGTCAGTTCTGGGTAATGAAAACAAGGTCTCTGTGATGCGGAAATTCACCAGAGATTTCGATGGATGGTTAGTGTTTGATGTACGAGGCGAGTTAAATTGGTATCAATAATACTAACCCTGGAATGACGTTCTTTAATTATCAGCACAGATTATACATCACTTCAAAGCAAACAAACAGCATGCATCGGGCCACAGAGGAGCCGTGCGCAAAATGCAAAGCAGAGGCTGAGCAGAGCAGTGCCGCAGAGCAGCGAGGAATTGAAAAGTGCACAGTTAAGAGGGTGTGTAATCTTCTGGGATACCAAGCAAGGAGCCACAAGCTCAGTCTCCAGTTGCCTCTGAGATGTCCTTGACTCTGCATAATCAGTTGGGAAAAGACTCTGTGTAGTGGTTGTATATGGCATGTAAGAGAGAATGCTTTTACTTGACCAAGGTGGGTCTTGCTGTTGTGAGCTTCCTTTCTGCTAGGAATACACAGTTGTCTGAATTGTCCACACTATACAGGACAGCATATACTGATCTTGCTGATTATTACTTTACTTTACTTTACTTTACTTATATACCGCTGTTCTCAGCCCGAAGGCGACTCACAGCGGTTCACAACAAATAAGAACAGCAAAAATTTAATGCTACAGTGTAAAAACAGTTAACAACCTAACATATTACATAATTAATCCCACAAACAAACATTACATTTTTATTTATATAGATGGTATATTAAATGACTACACAAAATCACGGAGGTTATTTTCTATTAGGCCAGTTTTCTGAAAGCATGTTGTTAATGTAACGATGCTTTGACAACATATTCAAAACACACACACACAAAATACAGAATTAGACAATTTGGATACATAAAACTTCCCAAACTACACAACTACATGCTTCTATAGTGCAACTAAGTTACAACTATATATAAATACGCAGTAGTTCCTGGTTGCTTGAGAGTTACTATCAAAAACAGGTCTGGTACTATATATCCCAGGCAAGGGCAAAGTAATTATGATTATTTTATTAATTTATATCCTGCATTTTCCCCAATAATGAGATGCAATGAAGGTAACAAATTATGAAAAATGAGTGTAGCTTAAAAATAGACAAAAACAACATTATGATCAATGTATTGTCGTAGGCTTTCATGGCCGGAATCATTGGGTTGTTGTAGGTTTTTCGGGCTGTATGGCCATGTTCTAGAAACATTCTCTCCTGACGTTTTGCCTGCATCTATGGCAGGCATCCTCAGAGGTTGTGAGGTCTGTAGGAAAGTAGGAATATTGCAGTCCAAGAAGGAAGAAAGGGGGAAAAGAGGAAGGGAAAGAAAAGGGGGGGGGGGAGGAAGGGAAGAGGAAGGGAAGGAAGGAAGGAGAGAAGAAAAGGAGAGAAAGAGGGAGGGAAGGTTGGCCACAGCAACACGTGGCGGGTACAGCTAGTTACTACATAACTTTACTGTATATTGAACTGCTTTTAATGTTCATCTGTTGTAAAACATGATGTTTTGATGCTTAATTTGTAAAAATATATTTGACATTTTATAGGTGTTTCCTTAATCCCTCATTATCCAACATTTTCGCTTATTCAACATTCTGCCAGCCCATTTATGCTGGATAAGTGAGACTCTACTATATGTATGTATGTGTGTGTGTATATATATATATGTGTGTGTGTGTGTGTGTAAGTCATTTTTAAGTCTAACTCTAGCCATATATTAAAGTTACACTTAAAAAATGTCCTGACTTTTTCTTGTCCTCATTAAGGGAGTTGGACTGGATGACCTTAAGTATTTTTTGTTGCTCGTGGGGGTTCTGTGTGGGAAGTTTGGCTCAATTCTGTCATTGGTGGGGTTCAGAATGCTCTTTGATTGTAGGTGAAATATAAATCCCAGTAACTACAACTCCCAAATGTCAAGGTCTATTTCCCCCCAAACTCTATCTGTGTTCATATTTGGGCATATGGAATATTCGTGCCAAGTTTGGTCCAGATCCATCATTGTTTGAGTCCAAGGTGCTCTCTGGATGGAGGTGACCTACAACTCCCAAACTCAAGATCAATGCCCACCAAACCCTTCTAGTGTTTTCTGTTGGTCATGGGAGTTCTGTGTGCCAAGTTTGGTTCAATTCCATTATTGGTGGAGTTCAGAATGCTCTTTGTTTGTAGGTTAAGTATAAATCCGAGCGACTACATCTCCCAAATGACAAAATCAATTTTTTTTAGTGCTGGTCACTCCTTGGGTGTCTTGTGACCAAATTTGGTGGCAATTCGTCCAGTGCTTTTTGAGTTATGTTAATTCCACAAACGAACATTACATTTTTATTTATATAGAGAAGGTAGAATGGAAAGAGACTCCAACTCCCACCATTCGTAACAGCCTCAGGCACTTTCCTTTCCCCCCTCAACCGCTTAAGCAAAAAGGAAGGAGCCTGAGTCTGTTAGGAACCGTGAGAGTGGGAATCCAAAACACCTGGAGGGTCCAAGTTTGCCCAGGCCTGATTTGGAGGAACAGAAGGACAACCTCGCCAATCCACCCACTCGCTTCGCATTGCAAAGGCTCAGGAAGGGAGGGACCTGATTGCAAGGACCTCCCTCCGAGGGCGGCCCCAAGCCACCCACAGGGCTTCCTCTTCCTCTTCCTTCTCCTCGGCCATGGCTCCCTTGCGTTTGGCGGCCAACCTGGCCTGGCTCTTCCAGGAGGAGGCGTCGCTGGCCCGGCGCATGGAGGCGGCGGCCACGGCGGGCTTCCGGGCGGCCGAGCTGGCCTTCCCTTACGCCCAGGGAGCCCCCGAGGAGCTGAGGGCGGCGGCGGAAAGGGCCCGGCTGGAGGTAGTCCTCCTGAACACCCCGCCAGGTACGCCCCACCTGGCTGCACCCACACACGTACACTGGCTCCACGCTGCGGAATCCTGGGAGTTGTAGTTGAGTGAGGCAACCCCATTTCTCTTTGGCAGAGAAGGCTACAGACCTTGCAAAGCTACAGCTCCCACGATTCCAGAGCACCGGGACATAGCAGTTAAAGTGGTGTCCAACTGCATTGATGCTGAAGTGTAGATGCACCCCTAGGAGAAGAATTCTGGCTTTCCCCAAGAGGTTCTGTGGTGGCCACTTCATCCCACTAGAGCAGTGGTTCTCAACCTTCCTAATGTCACGACCCCTTAATACAGGTCCTCATGTTGTGGGGACTCCCAACCATAAAATTATTCGTTGCTACTTCATAATTGTACTTTTGCTGCTGTTATGAATCATAATGTCAATATCTGATACACAGGATGTATTTTCATTCCTTGGACCAAATTTCACACAAATACCCGATAGATCAAATTTGAATACTGATGGGTTTGGGGGGGGGGGGGGATTGATTTTGTCATTTGGGAGTTACTGGGATTTACAGTTCACCTACAATCAAAGAGCATTCTGAACTGCCCCAACGATGGAATTGAACCAAACTTGGCACGCAGGACTCCCATGACTGACAGCAAATGCTGGAAAGGTTTGGTGGGCATTGACCTTGAGTTTTGGAGTTGTAGTTCACCTACATCCAGAGTTCACCTACATCCAGAGAGCACTGTGGACTCAAGCAATGATGGATCTTCTGAGCCAAACTTGGCACAAATACTCAATATGCCCAAATGTGAACACCGGTGGAGTTTGGGGAAAATCGACCTTGACATTTGGGAGTTGTAGTTGCTGGGATTTATAGTTTGCCTACAATCAAAGAGTATTCTGAACCCTATCACAGAACCCCCATGACTAACAGAAAATACTGTGTTTTCTGATGGTCTTTGACGACCCCTCTGACATCCCTTTGCGATCCTGCTAGGCGTCCTGACGCCCTGGTTGAGAAACGCTGCACTAGAGAAAAAACTACTTACAATCCTGTCTTTGCCTCCTGCAGAATTCTAGAGTTTGTAGTTTAGTGAGGCTGTTAAAGGCTCCCTCCTAAACTACAAACTCCAGAATTCTTGCAGGAGGCAGAAACTGGATTTTACCAAACTGTTAGAATTTCTGGGAGTTGAAGGCCAAAACATCTAGGGACCCACAGGTTGAGAACCACTGCTCTATGGCATTGTTCCATCAACCTGGCAAAGGCCACCAGGGGGTGCTAGAGAAAGAGAGAGAAAGAGAAAGTCTCTTTTGGGGGGGGGGAGTTCAAGGAGGAAAACTATTTCCCCATTTTCACTGGTCATTCCCACTCCCCCTCCCCCCTTCCCATATCATAAAGGGGACATGGGGACATGGGTGGGGGGGAATAACAGGAAAACAGGAGGAAATGGTTTTCCTCCTTCAACCTACCGTCCACCCCCATAAAATGGACTGTTTTTCTTTCTTGAGCATCCCTTGTGGGCTTCATCTAGACCGGATAATGCAACAGTCCTGGGGGCAAAAGCAAAGAATTATGCCTTGTGTCAGGACTGGAGAAGCTTTTTTAAACCAAGAGATAACCGTTCTAAGGATTGCTGTGAGTTTTCCAGGTCGTATGTCCATGTTCCAGAAGAATTCCCTCTGCCCACATCTATGGCAAGCATCCTCAGAGGCTGTGAAGTCTACTAGGACAGGAATTGATCAATTGGTTAGCTGGCCTTGATCGATTCCTGTCTGCAATTCCCTGTTTTTGGGTATTGTTCTTTATTTACTGTCCTGATTTTAGAGTTTTTCAACAGTGGTAGCCAGATTTTGTTAATTTTCATGGTTTCCTCCTTTCTGTTGAAATTGACCACACGTGTTGTCAAAGGCTTTCATAGCCAGAATCACTGGGTTGCTGTGCGTTTTCTGGGCTGTATGGCCATGTTCCAGAAGCATTCTCTCCTGACATTTCACCCACATCTATGGCAGACGTCCACAACCTCTGAGGATGCCTGCCATAGATGTGGGCAAAACATAAGAAGAAAATACTTCTGGAACATGGCCATACAGCCTGGAAAACTCACAACAATCCAATTGTCCACATGCTTATGGATTTCAATGGCTTCTCTGTGTGCTCTATCTGTTTATATCCTTTTTTTCCGACTCAGTCCTCCTTCCTTTTTCCTCTGGGGTGCTTTGAATGCAATTTCCCTGCTTCTTGGCAGGAGGTTGGCCAAACTGGATGGCCCACGAGGTCTCTTCCAACTCAATGATTCTATGAGTCATCAGAGTCATTCAAGGATAGCCTCTACTCTTTTCCCACATGCCCAGAAGTTCCTTTCTGCGGGTTTCACGTAAGCATCCATTCGGCATATGTGTGTATGAATAGAATACTGGAGTAGATGTGCCTTTGGTCTGTCCTGTCAGAACAGATCTTCTATGAGCCCTTTGGGAGGTCTTAGAGATAGGGCAGGCATGGGCAAACTTTGGCCCTCCAGGTGTTTTGGACTTCAACTCCCACAATTCCTAACAGCCAATAGGCTGTTAGGAATTGTGGGAGTTGAAGTCCAAAACAGCTGGAGGGCCAAAGTTTGCTCATGCCTGAGATAGGTTTTCCTTTCAGTTAATAACCTTCCAAGCAGATCCTGGAAAAATTACCTTTGGGACTACCATTTCCAGCATCCCCTTTAGCATGGCCAGTATGGATTCTGAACATTATAGTCAAACAAGTACCTTTTCCAATCTCTACTTTAACATGATTCTTACTACACAGCCCAACAAAAAAAAATCTTGGTGTCTTGGATTTTAGGCCTGTTATCGGGCATATTTGGGACAGATTTAGAAAGCTCTAGTTTCATAGATATGGTTAGCATGGTGTTCAATGGGCGAGCAGATGTGACTGGTAGATGGTGTATGTTCTGTATCTCAAAAGCTAGAGCTGATAGGGAAAAACCAGTGTCATTTTTGGGGAAATACACCAAGGAACAGGTTCACATTTGAGGCACCAAAATGTCTGTTGGCCAGTGATAGCAAAGTGCATCTCTCCATATTTTTGCTCCAATATCTGTCGCTCATCAAGGATTTGTAGTCCAACATCTCTTGGATGGTGTAATTTTTCCTATGATATGAGTTGGGCTGACCCCCCCCCCCCCCCAACACACACACATTCACAAGATATTGGCCCACAATTGTTGGGTACCAAGCTACTGGTTTCATAGGAGGCAAAACAGGCCCTCTTATTTGCTGAAGACTCTTGAGCAGTCATGAGCAAACTTTCGCCCCCTGGGTGTTTTGGACTTCAACTCCCACAATTCCTAACAGCTACAGGCCCCTTCCTTTTTTTGGAAAAGGCAAGGGCCTGATGTTGTTAGGAATTGTGGGAATTGAAGTCCAAAACACCCAGAGGGCCAAAGTTTGCCCATACCTGCTCTTGAGATAAACTTATTTCCAGACTTCAAAACCTGTAAACATAGATAACCTGTGCATTCAGGACATATATTTCAAATTGTGCACACATTTGACCGTCCAAGGAGTCTGCGGATTCGACCACTCACTTCTTGAAAATATTTTTTTAAATCCCAAAAAGAAACCTTGATTTTGCCATTTTATATAAGGACAACATTGTACAATGGCCAGGCATGTAGCCGGGGGGGGGGGGGGGGGGGGCGGGGGCCCCCCCCCCCCGAAATTCTCATGGTGGTTCGCGAAAAGGCCTTACTGATGCATTATTTAAACTGTTATGTTTATTCATATCATGATCTGATCACCATACTCAATATATCCCATATGCATGGGGGTATTGGGGTAATGATACAAAAGGTTTGCGAGGCTAGACCCTCTTTCACTCAGACTCAGCCCCCCCCCCCCCGAAACCCCCCCTGAAAAAAATTTACCCCCCCCCCCCCCCGAAACGAAATCCTGGCTACGGGCCTGACAATGGCATTGCATATAATGGGACTTCCGCATCCATGGATTTTGGTATCCACTGGTGTGTGTGTTCCTGGAACCAAATCCCAATAGATATCAAGGGCGCACTGTACTCCGTATTGTCGAAGGATTTCATGGCCGGAATCACTGGCTTGTTGTGTGTGGACAATTTCAACAGAAAGGAAGAAACCATGAAAATGAACAAAATCTTGGTACCAGTGTTAAAAAAACTCTAAAATCATAACAGTAAATAAAGAACAATACTCAAAAACCTGGGAATTCCAAACAAGAAACAATCAGGGCCAGCTAATCACCTCCCAACAAAGGATTTCCCCAGGCAGTAAGAAGCCAGACCTTGAAAACTGCTAGGCCATTAAATGTCAATTGCTACATTTACACCTACCTCAGACAAAAGTTCTTTCTCCCACCCAGGACATTCCACAGATATATAAAGCCCATTTTCCTAGTTTCCAACAGACCTCACAACTTCTGAGGATGTCTGCCATAGATGCAGGCAAAATGTCAGGAGAGAATGCTTCTGGAACATGGCCATATACCCCAGAAAACCCACAACAACACACTGTACTCACTTTTTTATTTTCGATTCCTGGACAAGGTGTCATCACACAGCAACCTAATGTGTTTGTATCTCTCCCCTACTTCAGCCCAAAAATATATTTAAAGAAAATTTGTGCTTGTCTTTTCTCAGGGAACCAAGACAAAGGCGACATGGGATTGGGTGCTGTGCCTGGCCGCCAGCCTGAATTTCGGGAAGCCCTGGCTTTGGCTGTAAAGTATGCCAAGGAGCTGAAATGCCCAAGGTAATATTGTCATTAATTAAGGCGTTGATTTATGTATTTATTTAGAGCATTTACATCCTGCCCTTAAGCCAAAAGGGATCCAGAATGGTTTACAAATTGTTAATTTGACAGTTTCCTCCCCTCAGGCTGACAATCTAATAAGACATTACACGCAAGGAAAGAAGGACAACGGTGAGGGAGGAGACGAATATAGTATAATATATTAAATATAATGCATCAAATCAACAACAGACTATGTCTTGTATAGAATGCAGTACCATAGCTCATATCAGTTGTTCAGTGTATGCAAAACCACATATGATCTTTCCCGCTGGCTGCTGTGTTGTTGACTGATCTTTTACAAATTCCCTCTCTACTGACCAGCAAAGGTGAAGGGCATGGCCAGAACCTGTATTACTCCTCACAAATCCTTGCAAAAGCAGATCCTCTTGCCAAGAAAGGGGGGGGGGGACTTCATGGATGCATCTGCCCATTTCTTAACATTACCTCACTGCAACCTTGAGAGCTATATTAACAGAGAAAGCCCAAGAGAAGTCGAACAAATTGCTCTAGTTCAGATGTGAGGAAAGTGCTAAACACAGGCTGCATCTAACTCTCATGGGTTTTTTTTTGCAGGCCCCACATTTCAAGAAAATGCAGGTGTTTTTTCTGTTTGCCAGACTAGGGGATGAGGGAGGCAATTTTTACATTTTAGGCTCAAAAAGACCTTTTTTCACAACAAGAGGGAACTTCTGGGTCTCTTCCTGTTTGTGGGGGAAGCCTCTCCTGGACCTACAATGGCTCAGAGAGGCAAAATATGGTGACATTGGTCACATATTCTCTAAGGGCTATTGGGGGCTTTGGGGAAACATTTTTTTTCAGGGAGCACAGTGAGGTTGAAGCCCTCCAATGTCACCCAGGGGCAACCTAACACCTGAAAGTAGTCCACCCCTGCTCTATTCTTTGTTTTTGAAGGGAAGGGAACAGGGATTTTCTTGTTCTTTTGCCTCACCTGCAGGGGCTGGGAACATCAGTGCTGAATGTAATAATAATAATAATAATAATAATAATAATAATAATAATGGTAATAATAATAATTTTATTGTGTCAGGAGCAAACCAAAATAGTTGCATTGCATTAAAAACAAACAAACAAGCAAAACACAAAGTTTGCAGACTTGGCATTCTATTAAATGTCCTTTGACCAGTATCTGGCCACTTGGAGTGCCTCTGGTGTTGCTGCAAGAAGATCTTCCATTGTGCATGTGGCAGGGCTCAGGTTGCATTGTAGTAGGTCAGTGGTTTGCTCTTCTCCACACTCTCATGTCATGGATTCCACTTTGTAGCCCCATTTCTTAAGATTGGCTCTGCATCTTGTGGTGCCAGAGCGCAGCCTGTTCAGCGCCTTCCAAGTCGCTCAGTCTTCTGTGTGCCCAGTCTCTCATTTCGTATTAACCATTGATTGAGGTTCTGGGTTTGAGCCTGCCACTTTTGGACTCTCACATGCTGAGATGTTCCAGCGAGTGTCTCTTAGAAAACTATTTCTTGAGTTAAGTCGTTAGCGTGCTGGCTGCTAGTGAAGACATCTGCCCTTGCGCTATGCTACTCTGTTGCTGAGTATGCATGCCCAGTGTGGAACACATCTCACCACACAAAACAGTGGATGTGGCTCTTAATGAGACATGTCATATTATCACGGGGTGTCTGCACCCTACACCACTGGAGAAATTACACTGTTTAGCCGGTATTGCACCACCTGACATCCACCGGGAAGTAGCAACCAATAGTGAAAGGTCCAAGGCAGTGACATCTCCGGCCCACCCCGTTTGGGTATCAGCCAGCACGCCAATGACTTAAATCAAGAAATAACAACAACAACAACAATAATAACAACACTTTATTTATATTCTGCCCTTCTCCCTGTGGGGGCTCAGACTGGATTACAGTGTAAACAGATTCTGGCAAACATTCAATGCCTAGTTACAATACAATGAGACACACAAACACAAAGGCAGAGGCTTCTCCTTTCATTTTCTGCTTTGGAGTCAGTGCTCATCTCTGGCTCTGGGGGAGGTGCTGTTCTCCATTCTCAATCTGAAGAACCTGCATTGTCACCTCCTGCATTGTCACCTCATGTGACTGGCATCACTGCTTGGAGCATCTTATGCCTTTCCTGCCGAAGTGGCACCTATTTATCTACTCACATTTGCATGTTTTTGAATTGCTAGGTTGCCAGGAGCTGGGCTAATCCCAGTCCTGCAGATTCAAACTGTCAATCTTCAGATCAGCAGTTTAGCGGCACAAGGGTTTAACCTATTGTGGCACCGTGGCCCATCATATAGTTTCCTTGACATCACCAGTGTGTCTTTCCCTGGCCTTTTCTATTTTACTACAATTCATATCAGCCACAACCATCATTACCAAAATTAAGTAGAGGAGCCTCAATCCTAAACTTGGAAAGAGCATCATCTTGCCTACATGTATCTTATTCAGGCTGAGGACATTGAACGATGGCCCATGCGGTCTCTTCCAATTCTGTGGTTCATCCTGGAATAGAAAGTGACAAAAAGACAACTAGAACATAGAAACACAGCCTAAAATCAGATGTATCCACAATGTCCATTGAAGCTTTGTCAAACTTGCTAGAAGCTGTAATTCTGTGCATTCAGAGATCCTCAGGTAGACTAAAATGAGGGACTATCTGGTCCTTATCAGTTCTCTCCAGTGTAGCCAATGCTATAGTGGAACTCTCTGCCCTAGAGTGTGGTGGAAGCCCCTTCTTTGGAGACTTTTAAATAGAGGCTGGATGGCCATCTGTCTGGGGTGCTTTGAGTGCCATTTTCCTGCTTCTTGGCAGGGGGCTGGACTGGATGGCCCACAAGATCTCTTTAAACTCTATGATTCTATAGAAATATGTGAACTGAGGACCAACAGCATTTGGAGAAGCATCCATTTATATTTTTAGTTCTTACATTAGTTCACAGAAAGTGCAGGGGCAGCTCTTCTTGGCAGAAGTGAGGGAAGCATGAATGAGCTTATATTGTGATCCTATCATTGGTACTAGTTCCTGGAGGATTTTTCCACATTAAATACCTCTAATTTGCCAGTGCCTCTACAATATCTGTTGCAAAACCTTGCTCATTCAAGGTAGTTTCTCTTGGTGTTAAATCTTCAGCATACAGCTTGTGGGAGGAGATGCTTTGGATAGGCAGAAAAGAAGGCAAGGATGAAAGGGCGGGAGAATGAATACGAACACTTGAATTTTCCTGCATTGAAACATACTATTTTGGGAGGGCGGAATGGCTTTGAGAAAGATAGAAGTGAGATGGCTTGAAAGACAGAAAAGCTGCAGTTTGGTTCACATAGAGGAAGACACAATGTAGGGAAAGAAACCAGGAAGGGAAGTAGCAAAGGAATGGACAATTATGGACATAGCACCACATCCACAGCCTGGTTCTGGCATGGTCAGAAATGGTGTTACTTCACTTCTGGTTCCAAGAATCAGCAGAAATATAGCCAAATTGTACAGGGTTTTTATTTTTAAAAAATTGGTGGCTGGGTAATTGGAGAGCCAAATTGTAGTGTTTTGTGACAATTTGTGTTTTCTATTTTTGCCAGTCAGTGAGTGTATCCATGCAGCTCAGAGAGTTGTTTTGGAGCAGGAAATGTGACTTTGTTTGCTGGCTTTGCAAGGAAGTGAGATGAAAACAAAAAACCCTTCTATTTCAGAGAGTAGCCTAGAGCAGGGATAGAAATTGCGAGTCTGTGTGTGCCTTCAGATTGTCTGTTGACTTGTGAAGATCCCAAGGCTTTCTTAGGCAAGGAATTCTAAGAGATGGTTTTGCCAATCCCTTCCTCTGAGATATATACTACAGCATCTGGTATTCATGGGTGTTCGCTCATTCAAATACTAACCCAGGACTGATCCTGCTTAGCCTCCAAGCCTCCAGATAGAATATGATGCCTTCAGGTTATTTAGGCTGCGTGCCGAGCGCATAGAAATTGAAACATAGCTCCCAGTAGTCCTGTGCAGTGTAACTGATGATGAGGAATGCTGGGAGTTGCAAATTTTGTTGAACTGGGAGTTGCAGTTCAACAAAATTTGGCGGGCCACATATTTGCATTTCAGGGAAATCAAGAAGACGAGGAAACTAATGAAACCAATTACTGGCCACTTTCCTTTCCTTTAATGGAGTTCCCGCTTCATATTGACAGTTTGAATGGCAATGCTTATCTTCAAGATTGTTTGCAGCATTGAAAACTGAAGCATTACAGATGGTTGACAATCATTTCTTAAAGCTCAGAGTACTTAATAGGTTGAATCTATGTGGTCAGAATTAAGCAGGTTCAGTTATATAGGATTATCCTCATGTCCTGCAAGCTTAGTTGTGAGATGCTGTTAGCGACCGATTGTTCGTTTGAGGTGTCTCCGTTTCATGATGGAATTTCCAACTAATAATATTATTTTAGATTGATATTATTATTATTATTATTATTATTATTATTATTATTATTATTATTATCTTTATTTGTACCCCGCTAGCATCTCCCGAAGGACTTGATGCGGCTTACAAAGGCTAAGGCCTCAAAACACAACATAACAATACAAAACCTAAAGCAAATTAAAAACAATTAAAGCAATATTAAACACAAGCAATAAACAATACACCAAGACACAATAAAACTGGGCCGGGCCAGAGTAATGGGTACAGAATTAAAAGTGCTGATGTGACAGGTGATATATAAGGATTATGGGGTAAGTGCAGTGTGCAATATGCAGCAATCTTAATTCTAATAAAGTGCTTCTGGGATTTGTTGTTGGAAGGTTCCTACTCTGGAAAGGCAGATATAATATAACAGAATAGCAGAATATCTTACTATAACTCTTGGAAGCATAACTATGGATTTTTGCAGCAGTGTGGCTATAACAGCAGCAATCACTAGTAAATCAAATTTACCCCTGTATCACTGCTAATGACAACTGCATAAGATACTATCAGAATTAATCAATGATACCATTTTTTAAGGAGCCCTTGGTGGCGCAGTGGGTTAAAGTGCTGAGCTGCTGAACTTGCTGACCGAAAGGTCGCAGGTTCGAATCCGGGGAGTGGCATGAGCTTCTGCTGTTAGCCCCAACTTCTGCCAACCTAGCAGTTCAAAAACATGCAAATGTGAGTAGATCAATAGGTGCCACTTCAGCAGGAAAGGCATAAGATGCTCCAAGCAATCATGCTGGCCTTATGACCTTGGAGGTGCCTACGGATAATGCTGGCTCTTTGGCTTAGAAATAGGGATGAGCACTAACCCCCAGAGTCAGACACGACTGGACTTAATGTCAGGGGGAAACCTTTACCTATCATTTTTGCACTTCGCTTTTAAGCCAGCCCAATGCACAAACTGAAGAGAAAAACAGAACATACATATAGAAAACCAAACCATACCTTGTTAAGCCATAAGGAAACGAACACCAATCTGTTGCTGTTAATCTTATAGCAACAGTGCTAAAATCTTATTTTAGTCCTTTTCAAGTCTAGAGACCTTTTGGTCCTCCAGAGGTTGATGAACTACTTACACCGCTCAAGGCTGGCAACTTGAATCCAACAACATCTGGAGGTCCACAAGTCTACTAGCCCTTGATCTATGAGGGATTTATGCTTGGAAATGGGGAAGAATCAATGTCTCCTAGTAAGCTGACTGTGCATGTCCAAGGATACCCAGAGCCTATAAATCTGCCGACAGTGATCTTGCACATATGGCCTGTGAATGTTCAAGAGCTAATAATGTAAGTCAAGCCAGGCGGACTCATTTGAAATGAACTGGCTGTAATTTTTATAGTTGTTCTTCTAGAATTCTAGACGCTCTTGCCATCGCTACACTAGATTGAAGGTGGTAGCCTGTGCCCACAGAAAGGCTTATGCAGTGATGTGTGCTGACTGTTCAGTGCTGAAGATCATCTCATGGGTCAGCACAGCACCTCTGGGCAGGATTAAACTGAGCATGAGACAGACTTCACTGTAGTTGCATCATAGCAGCCTGGATGCTTGATCCAAGGGCGAAGAAAAAAAACAGCAGTAGCCTTGCATCTGTCCCTCTTAGTTCATGCCAGAGATATTAGATCCAGTCTTACTCTCCCCTAATGTGGTTTATAGGATCCATATTATGGCGGGGCGAATCCCAATGGGTGCAGAGCGGGAGGCAGTGTCAGCACAGATGGAAGCTACCTTTGTAGAGAACCTCAGATATGCTGCTGACGTCCTGGCTCAGGTAGGCTCTGTGTGGTCAATTGTTAATAGATTATGTTGCTTCTTTACAAGAGTCAGGTGCCCATTCAATCCTGATTCCACAAGGCTTAAGGTACTAAAGGCCTCCTACCCAAGCTCCATCCTCCTGAAGTTCAAAATAGTCTAAAAGATAGCAAAGTGGAGTCATATCTGAGCAAGCATGTCCAGGAGGGATGCTGCTTAGTTTATGGAAAGGGAAAGAATTTGGCACGCACCACTGTGATGGTGATGGACAAGAAATTATCCAAAAGGCGAGCCCTTGTGTACAGTCAGCTCTGGGAAGCAAGAGGGATAGGAACTAATTGCTAAACTAGCCATCAAGTTTGTTGTGCAAATCATTGGGCTCTGGCTGGCTGTTATCACCTGTTTTTTGGTTTGGTTTTGCAGGAAAATCTGATAGGATTGTTGGAGCCTATCAACAGCCGGATTACAGATCCTAGGTACTTCTTGACCACACCACAACAAGGTAAGTTGAGGCCAAAAGTCTCCCCTTCATAGGTGGGGACTGCCTTTTTTTGAAAACAGGGATAGGTAAGTTGTGGCTCTCCAAATATTGATGGACAGCAACTCCAAATATTGATGGACAGCAACCCTAATTAGCAGAAGCAATGATGAGGAATGCTGGGAGGTGTAGTCCAGTAACATCTAGAAGGCCCCAAAGGCTACTCCATTGCTGAAGACTTTAAAATGCATAGAGAATGGAGAGTCAAAGCCAGTTACTTGTGACAGTGTGGACCTATATTTCTTCAGCTGTTGCCATTTTGAAGAAGGTGGGACACCCCAACCTGAAGCTGCAGCTGGTGAGTCCTTTTTGATGTGTTTCATTAAGAATCTGTCCTCTTTCCTTGGGTGCAGTAGGTTGCTGTGGGTAGCATTATATTTGGTTAGACCAGGCATGGGCAGACTTCGGCCCTCCAGGTGTTTTGGACTTCAACTCCCACAATTCCTAACAGCTGGTAGGCTGTTAGGAATTGTGGAAGTCCTAAGGACCTGGAGGGCCAAAGTTTGCCCATGCCTAGGTGAGAGCCTTGAATAGACTGAATTATTGGTCTTTATGCTGGGAGAGGAAGAAGATGGCAAAATCTTTCTTCATCTCCTTGGACTTGGTTTCAGGGCAGTAAATGATGTTTGCTCCACAGGATATTTTCCACTGCCAGATAATGGATGGTAATCTGACTCAGAACCTGGAAACATACTTTCCACTTATTGGTAAGACATCAAAGGTGGTGTTGTGTTGTTTTTCGGCATTTAACTTTGCTATGGCCTCTCTGGGTTTTAATTTTCTTCGTCTGTATCCCAAACCATCTTGAATTTATGGATCCTTTGTAGCCTAGCATAATGAGAGCACAGGTTGAATATCCCTTACCCAAAATGCTTGGGACCAGAAAGGTTTTGTATTTTGAAATATCTGTATTTGTATATATGTGCATGATATATTGGAAATGAGACCCAAGTCTCAATATGAAATTCATGAAGTTTCATATAAACTTTATGCACATAGTCTTGGAAGGTAATTTTATACAATATTATTAATAATTGTGTATGAAGCAAACTTTGTGTATATTTAACCTTCAGCAAACAAAGTTTACCTTGGTCACCCATGTTGATACTTTTGGATTTTAGAGTATTGCAGATCTTGGAATTATAGATAAGGAATGCTCAAATGGTATTGATGTTACAGCGGTAAGTTTAGTAATAGTGCCCATGAAAAAAATGAACATGGCAGTAACCTATGCCTAATGTTACATTCACTTCTGATGGTGCTTATCTTTCTGTGTAGGAAACATTCAGATTGCCCAAGTACCAGGACGTCATGAGCCTGATAGCCCTGGAGAACTGAACTACCCATACCTGTTCCAGCTGCTAGAGTCAATGGATTACAGTGGTTACATAGGATGCGAATATAAACCTGAAGGCAAGTTTTTTCTAAGATCAAACAAGATAGTGATTAATCTTCCTTTGTGTGGGTGAGTAGCATTAGGAAGCTTCTGCGACATACAGGGAGATGTTCTGTTCTGATCCTTCCAGAGAGCAGCAATCCGGGCTCTGCTTCCATATTTGGCTAACATAGCTCTTCAAAGCTTAGTTGAGGCTTGGACTGCTCTTAGTTAGCATTCATGTTTAATGACTATGCATATTGCTTCTCTTACAGGAGATACACTGAAAGGGCTGGGCTGGGCTCATAAATATTGGGAAAGTCATGGTTTGCTGCATGTCGGAAGCTAAAGAGTTAAGCTTTGTAGTGGAAGAACAGAAATAAAAGAACATTGGAGGTGGACTGAACAACTGTGCTGGCTTATTACTATACATCCGCAGAGGGGAAAAACCAGCTTGGAAAGGCCACGCTTTGGGCATTAGCTCAATCAACTAAAATGTCGCTGTCTTGTGTCTCCCTCTGGATGCATACTCACAGCAGAAATTGTTTTATTAATAAAGTAACGTCATTCAAGTGGTTCTTGTTACTCAACTTCAGCGCCAGAATGTGCCACTGAATTCCTGGTTGCACTTTTCCCTGTGAGACATGCTCTTTTTTTCCCTCCCAGCACAACTTGTCTGCCACCCTCTCATTGCAATTATAAGGGCTGACCCTCCAAAGGAGTGAGAAATTATGTTATCACGCTAAATAATGGTGTTGGCATGCCTTTTCCTTCCTGCTATCAAAGAATAGGGAGTAATTTGGTGCAAAGGAGTAAAAGCTTGGGCTTGCCAGAGCTAGCTCTATAGTACCACTTAGTGGCTCTAGATAAGATTGCTGAACTTCTAAGGGACATCCAATCCTTCAATTTTGATTTGCTTTTTTCTTGCACAATGAAATACTACTTGAACTAGTCACATAAATGCGTTCCCTTGCATTATTGCATTCAGCAGGCCAGGACCTTAAGCTACAGCAAAAACCCTGGGCAATATATAAAGATAAATATTTTCCGTGACTTTAAGTTTAGTCATGTCCAACTTTAGGGGGGCAGTGCTCATCTCCATTTCTAAGCTGAAGAGCCGACGTTGTCCGTAGACACCTCCAAGGTCATGTGTCCAGCATGACTGTATGGAGCGCCATTACCTTCCAGCAGAAGTGCTACCTATTGATCTACTCAAATGTGCATGTTTTCGAACTGCTAGGTTGGCAGAAGTTGGGAGGTCACCCTGCTCCCTGGATTCGAGCTGGCAACCTTTCAGCTAGCAAGTTCAGCAGTTCAGCCCACTGCGCCGCCAGCGGGTCCATATATAATAACATTATTCATTTGAATACGAACTGCCTTAGGAAATAATCAATTTCTCCCAAAAACAAATAGGGGAGAAGCAAAGGACGTATCCCAAGACAAAAGAGACAACTTCTGAGGAGAATCTGTGACAAAGTATTTTATTGTTATAATTCATTATCCATTATTTTTAATTTACTGTACATTCACTTCATAGAAAACATTCTTATCATTGTGTAATACCCTCCTGCTAAAATCTGTCCAGTGAGTCACTCTGAAAGGCCTGGCAGAGCCTGCAACTGCAGGAGCCTTTCAGTCCTGAATTCCAAAGAGGCACATACACCCAAAAGCCTTCTTGGGCATTTTCTTTGGGATGGGCTCTCTTGGCGTTCCATCCAGGTTGCTCTTGTTGTGCATCAGAGTAGACCTGCTTTTTCTGTGAATCTATTCAGCAAAGTCAGAATCCTTGAAAGCATCCTGACTTCTTATCCAGCCAACTGTACCCTTGTATCATCCACTGTTCCTGCCATGCAAAGTGGTCTCCCGTTTGTTCCAGCCAACGACTGCAGCTGGGTCCATGCAGCATGCTCCAATGAGAAGAACCAACCAGTGCTATAGTAGCCCTGTCCAGAGGTTGAAGCAAGCTGTATTTATGACAGATTCCAAGTGGTGGTATGTGGATACAAGTTGTGGCAAAGGGCTCTCGTTCTGGGGCTGTACTGGAAATGACTCCCGAAAAACCACTGTGAGACTCTGCCAAAAATAATAATAAATTATCATTGATTGCCTGTGATCTGTTCATATGCTTACCAACAGACTCATCAAAATCCCCTCTTAATATTGCTTTCCTATTGCAATTAGATTGCAGTAACCTACAGACTTGGAATCATCACTGGGTACAGCACCAAGGATTTTTTTGTGTATGTCAGGTACGACTTCAGAAACTGCAAGTTGCTTCTGGTGTGATAGAATTGGCTGTCTGCAAGGAGTTGCCCAGGGGATGCCCTGATGTTTCACCATCCTGTGGGAGGCTTCTCTCATGTCCCAGCATGGGAAGCTGGAGCTCGCCCCACTCCCTAGATTTAAACCGCTGACCTTTTAAGTCAACAGTTCAGCTGGCACAAGGGTTTAACTCATTGTGCCAGCAGGAGCTCCATAGCACCAAAGATGACCACTCTAATATACAGGAGCATTGCCTCAAATCCAAAGCTGGGCACTAGAACCCTCCTGCTTGTATCCAACAGCCCCAACAAAGCAGGAATTTCTCTCAGGCAATAGTGCTCCAGTATGGCAGGATAATCTCAAAAACTCCTCTACTAAGAAAGCAGTGGAGTTTCAATTTCCCTTAAATCTCCCCTTAATCAAAGGAAATGCTCTCACCGTTTTTCCTGAATGGGAATCAAGGAAGACAAGCACAAAACAATCTGTGAATTTCTGGTTGAGAACGACCTGCAGAGAAAGTGTTGCATCAGAAATTTTGTTTTGTCATGTTGTTGTGATAAGCAAATATCAGTAAAGCAATGGCATCCTACTCAGTGGGAGGATTAGATGCCTGTGCAGGTGTGGTGGCTAAAAAGGATAACACTACAGTGGGGAAGCCTGTAGTGTTTCCTCCCAATCTCTACAAAACCCCTGAAACAAAAAAGCTTTCTATTAAGTCAAGGAACAACCTTAATTTCAGAAGAGCTGCATGTGAGAATTGCCCTCCACTCCAATAAGGTGCCAAGGGAGGCTGGCACTCATAGATGGAAATGCAGAACTTGCCCAGATGAGGTAATTACAGATCACTCTTGATTAACCCATGTAAGCCAGCAGCTCCCAGTTGTTCTAGGAGAACCTTACCAAGTATTGGGTGCCCGCATCAGCATTCTGGAAATGGCGGCAGCTCTGGGGGAAACGACTCAGTAGCACCTTGATAAGACTTTGGTACCAGGAGACAGTCATGGTGAGGAAGCAGCTCTGCCAGGAGGAGAAAGGGAAGGAGGTTGGTGAAGGATGTGGAACTTCTTAAAGCATGTGACATCTGGACACAAGACCTGACTCAGGAACAGTGGGATTATCTTAGCATTTGCCTCTCCACCATTTGCAGGGAATTGCAGGATTTGCTCAATGTCAAATGTACAAGTGCATCTAGGTGCACATACATATTTGCATGTCCTGATTGAGCTCAGCTACTCACCAACTGGGGATCGATGTCAGAGATGGATTTCTTGTGCACTGCATCCAGCAATTCTTCCAGCTCCCCAATTGAGAGTTTGCCCAGCTTCAGTTTGTCAGATGCAAGAGGTTCAAGCAGGAAGAGACGCTTCCAGAGGTTGTCTCGGCGACAATGACACTTGGCAAGCTGCACCATGCTGGTCAGCTGCTTCTGGGCAGCAGCCACCTCCGAGGCAAGCAGTGGGAACACCGGGGATGTATAGAAGAGTCCAGGGCCCACCCTGACCTGGGGGCCACCTGCATAGAATTCGCCGCTGTCCTCCACTTCCTCCCAGGGCTCCATGATCTCTCTGCGCTGCCAGCCCCCTTCTGCGGTCTCCCAGGCTGCACGCCCCAGAACCGGTTCCAGTGTCTCCCGTTGTAGGCGAGGCAGCTTCTTGAAGCGTCGCATGTCAGCGGTGAGTCGTGGGAAAAGCTCCCGTTGACTTGTCATGATTACATAGAAGTGCAACCTGGGAAGAGGTAAACAGTAGCCATTCTGCATCTCATGTCTCCTCCAGATAAAACCAACTCGCTAAGTAAGTCCCCTGTAGGCTAGCAGTAGGCTAGCCTGAAGATTTTCCTCACTTTTTTTCATATGTAGACAGTTCGTTTAAATAACTTTATGGGCCTCCATATTAGAAATATTTGTTAGTCCACTGCAAACTACTTGGTTTCCTTGAAAATAAGACTTAACCAGTAAATAAGCCCTAGCATGATTTTTGGGATGCTTGTAATATAAACCCTACCTCAAAAAAAAAAAAAAAGCCTCAGTTAAGATCATCAGCCAGACAGATGCATTTACCAGTAAAATAATAACAATAAGCCTGAAAAACATGTTCTAGAACATGGCTATATAGCCCGAAAAACCTACAACCCAGTGATTCCAGCCATGAAAGCCTTCAACAATACAACCCTGAAAAAGTTACAGAAAATGAACACATGAAACTACTCTGGGACTTCCGAATTCAGACTGACAAAGAGTTTTGGAGCACAATATGCCTAAAAACCTTGGCCTGCACTTCAAACACAATCGGTGCTGATAAAATTACCTTCTGTCAGCTGCAAAAGGCCACCCTACTGGGATCTGCACACATTATTCACCAATACATCACATAGTCCTAGACAATTGGGAAGTGTCCGACATGTGATCCGATACAACAGCCAACATAGTGATCTTGTTTGCTGTATACTAATCTTGTGTTTCTAATAATAATAATAATAATAATAATAATAATAATAATAATAAACAATAACATACTTATTATATTTATAACCTACTCTGTCTCCCCGAGGGGACTCAGGGCATTGCCACACACGACTGACATATTGAATTATAAAATATTAATATATAATTAAATATAAATATGATTATTGACATTAATACTTGGGAGAGCTCTATTGCTGGACATGAGAAATTGGGTCCAATGGTTTTATAGGAATTGAGTCGCAAGAAATTTAGGCCTGAATTCAGCGTTTGGGAAGTTATGACAATGTTTCAGAAGATGATGACATAACTGTATATGAGTAAATGCAGATTTTTGTACATGGATAAATGTACATTGCTGTACATGAAAAAATAAAACTTCCCCTGAAAATAAGCCCTAATGTGTGTTTTGCAGCAAAAAATAATATAAGACCTAGTCTTATTTTTGGAGAAATATGGTATTATTGCTACACCTGGTTGCACTCCTCCTGCCTTTGCAGGCTTTTCTAGGTTGTTCAACCTTTTACCACTCCCACAAACAGGCATGGCCCTGCCTTTAATCTTACCGCAGCATGAGTCGATCTGCCTCACTTTGGTCCTCAAAGGGTGGAGCGCTGTGACATACAAGCATTGACACATCAAAGTCGTCATGGTGACGCAACCCTTCTGAATCCTTGTAGGAACCTGAGCTGTAAGCAGAGGATGGTGTCAGGGATTTTCTATGGGGTAAGTATGTAAGAGGGCAGATGCAACCCATTGAGTTGCTACCTGGGTTGCAACCAACTGAGCCTCTATTAGAGCAGATATTGCACATGAACTAACAATTAAGTGAATAAACTGAGTAACAGTGGTATTTTGCTCATGGTTTGACTGCTTCTCTCACACCATAGTGTGCTTCTGAGAATGTAGAAATATGTCACAAACACATTGTATAGTTTGGTTTCTCACACCCATAAAATAAAAGGAAGGCAGTGTTGTGCATGCTTTGTATGATTATACCATCTAAACAGAAGACAAAAGAGTGCAAAATGATTAGAATTTAAGTATATGCCACAGATCTAAAAGCCTTCTTATGAGCCAGATTTTTTGTATCAGTGCAGAACAGTGTGCTCCGGTATTGTCACCATCCTACACCATCTGTATAAGCACAACCAAATGTACATGTCTCTTTTCCTGTTTTGATAAATACATATTGGTGACAGTAACAAAGAGTAATGAAGTAACTGCAACACTTTACAAGAGTATAGCTCTTAGCTAGACTAACAAAATATTCTGACCTATTGAAGAGTAAATTTGGGAATTCTATCGGCACAACATAGCAAGCTTTGGGCAGCAAATGATTGAAACAAGAATTATGGCTTAAATATGTGAGAGCCAAAGCTAGAAACAGCCTCAAAGAGCCTTCTTGGTGCTTTGAATCAAGAACATGATTTTTCTATAAGCAGACAAAGCTGATCTTACTCCTTCCAGAATCAGTAGGGCTAAAGAGGATGACAAACTGAATTTCTTTTGAGGGTGATAAAGCATTCTGTGGGTATCGGACTCAGCCAGAAGTAATCAAGAAATATGAAGCCAGAGAGACAAAAGAAAGCAGAATGTGGGGATGGAAAAACAATAATTCTCAGTAATCTGAAAGTCAAGTTGCTCACATGGGATTCTCAAAAGGATCAGTATAATACTATGTTAGTAAAAAAAAAAAAAACCCAGGATAATTTGCTAAGAGATTATGTTTTATTCTTCTCATTGTCTCAACTGTTCGCAGCAGCTAAGGCATAATGCTGGTATAGAGCTTGGTTGCTTTGGGCTGGGCATGAAATAACATGCCGGATTCAATGGGTAAAATGTAGCTAGGGACTAAAACTACAAAATGTAACACTGTTTACAACAACATTTCTGTGTTGCCTACACCTACTTCAGGTTTAACATTCAATTTCATAAACAAAGGCTTCTAAAAATATGACCCAAAATACACAGAATTTTGTCAGGAAAAACACAAATTTTGACTTTAGATTGGAAATTGTAGCCAAGACCGGTGTGGTTTTTAAGTTCTGTGCAGCACTTCACAACTTTAGTTGCATATTAAATAAGATTATACCTCCACTGCTGGGCTTACTACCTTTTGACCAATCAAGACGGAAAAGTGGCCGACAGCATGCGGGGTTCACAACTGTAGGGAATGATTACTGGAACATCAGCATCTCATTACAGCAATCTGGAAGCCACTCACCTGTTCCAGATTGAGACGAGAGCATATTCGTTCTGCTCTGGGCCGGGGGTCCCCTTCTTGCCATCAGTGGCAGTTCCTGGCCTGGCCATGCGTAAGGGCTTCATATGGTAGGTGCTGGCATGGTCAGTTATGTAATTATACAGATGATGTGCCATGATGGTATTGGTGGGCAAGGCCAAAGTACCTGTTGAGAGAAGACACAGCTTACTATTTTTTCCTGTAGGTCAAAGGGGCATGGATAACAACCCAAGATACAAGATACAAGAGTTGCACATGCCTCAGAAGACCTTGGAAAGCTCTCCCCACTCCTGGGGGCAACAAGCAAAGGATTATGCCATGTGTCAGGACTGGAGAAGTTCTTTTAAACAAGGAGACAAACAGTTCTAAGAGTTGCTGTGAGTTTTCCAGGCTGTCTGGCTATGTTCCAGAAGCATTCTTGCCTTGCATCCTAAGAGGTTGTGAGGTTTGTTGGAGACTATGCAAGTGGGATTTATATATCTGTGGAATGTCCAGGGTGGGAGAAAGTACTCTTGTCTGCTTGAGACAAGTGTGAATGTTGCAACTGATCATCTTGATTAGCACCGAATAGCCTTGCAGCTTCAAAGCTTGGTCGTTTCCTTTGTTGGGAGGTGATGAGCTGGCCATGATTGTTTCTTGTCTGGATTTCCCCTATTTTTGAGTATTGCTCTTTATTTACTGTCTTGATTTTAGAGTTTTTTTATACTGGTAGCTAGATTTTGTTCATTTTCAAGGTTTTCTTCTTTCTGTTGAAATTGTCCATATCCTGGTGGATTTCAATGGCATCTCTGTGTAGTGGTTGTTAGAGTGGTCCAGCATTTCTGTGTTCTCAAATAATATGATGTGCCCAGGTTGGTTCATCAGGTGATCTGCTATGGCTGACTTCTCTGGTTGAATTAGTCTGCAGTGCCTTTCATGTTCCTTGATTTGTGTTTGGGAAATGCTGCATTTGGTGGTCTAATCTAATTTCTCAAAGAATCATAGAGTTGGAAGAGACCGCAAGGGCCATCAAGTCCAACCCCCTGACTTGCAGGATCACACATTTAATGTTGGCTTTATAAAGATCTCCCTGGGGCCTAAAACCGCCCAGGAACGTATATGGTAACACTGGCCCTCGTGTTCCCTACAGAAGAAAGGTAATAAAAAAATGGCAGCAGAGGCCACTTTGGATGGTTCATGGATGGTTTTGGAGTGGGTGAACTTCTTCATCCCATCTAAATGCCTTAAGATTCCTGGAAAGTCTTATGGCCAGGCTTGAAAGACTTTGTGCTCTTTAAGAGGAGAAAAAAAGAGACAGAGAGAGAGAAAGAAAGAGAAAGAGAGGCTATTTCTTGTTATATTCAGGAATATATCATTCTTCTTTCCTTCCTTCTAACCACTGTTCTGGCTTTCTGTGTTGACTAATTAAAGCAAGCTTATTGTTTTATGTTCATTTTCATTTCTGCCTGATTTTATGCTTTTTATGTCTTTCCTCAAAACCTTTTGCTTGTTTTAAGTGCCACTTGCTTTAATTAGCTCTGACATTAAGCCCACAGTCTCCTCTCACTTGGCTCATCGCTAACAGGCTTTAGTACTTTATTATGAGCAGTGGGTGATGAAATTGAGGCAAGATGTATAGATCTTTTATGATTCTGACATATTCTTGTAGTTTTGTAATTAGGTTCCCTTGTCAATCTGGAATGACATATATGACAAAAAAGCGGCTACCTTGGGATTTACAGCCAATTCCTTGTTGTCAATTTGTTATTATTAACCCTTGGGGGCAGAGAGCTGTCTAGTGGGTTGACTTCTATAACTCTGAAGTGCTATCATGGCATTATACTGTACAAAAATTGGACAGGTTGCTTATAATTAATCACAGAATAGGCCAAGATGAATCTATAGAGATTAGGATGAAGTCAGGGGATACTGTCGTTTGTAGCTTTGAATATGCTTTTATGGATTCTAACTGAATGTTTTAATATCAATGATATTTAATTCTGTTTTAATGTTTGTACGAGGGTGAGCCGGAAAGTTAGGTTACAAGATTTTTTTTTTTTAAATACAAAGAATGACTATATTTTAATAAAATTTACATGGATTGTAGCATAAGTATTACATTATTTTTCCACATAATCACTATTCAGTTCAATACATTTTGTTATCAGTGGGACGAGTTTTTTATGGCTGTGTCATAGAAGTCTCCCTCCGCCTTTTTGAGCCAGTTTGTCACTTTGATTTTCACCTCGTTGTTGGAAAAGTGTTTTTCACCAAGGTGTTCCTTCAATTTAGTGAACAGATGATAGTCACTGGCTGCGGGGTCAGGGCTGTGAGATGGGTGGCTTAAAACATCCCAACCAAATGAAGTCAACAACTCTTGTGTTGCATGAGCAGTGGGCGGACATGCATTGTCATGAGGGAGACAGACTCCAGTCATTAGCATTCGACAATGTTTGTTTTGGATGGCTCTGTGAAGTTTCTTCATGGTCTAACAATATATCCCATACCCATTTTGTCACATGCTTTTTTTTTTTAATCAGGAGCAACTTGAAAAACTGCAGGTTGCTTCTGGAGTGAGAGAAGTTGCCATCTGCAAGGACGTTGCCCAGGGGATACCTGGATGTTAGACGTTTTACCATCCTTGTGTGAGGCTTCTCTCATGTCCCCGCATGGGGAGCTGCAGCTGATAGAGGGAGCTCATCCACGCTCTCCCCGGATCTGAACCTATGACCTGTCAGTCTTCAGTCCTGCCAGCACAAGGGTTTAACCCATTGCACCACCGGGGGCTCCTGCTGTCACATGCTATCTTGACTTTACGTCTTTTCCATAAACTGAAACGATTTCGCGATGTATCGCAGCGGCGTTCATGCCCTTAGCATTTAGGTAGTATATTACAGTGCGAACTTTGCAATGAAATAAAGACACTCACCTCTAACCTTCACCACAATGCCAGTCGATGAGCTACTGATGTCTGGCTCTGTTCGTTGGCTTCTTGCTACATGGCAGTGATACCAACTTCCCCCGAGAAAATTCCCCATGAGAGCTACTTGCCTTGTAAACTTACTTTCCGGATAACCCTCGTACATTTTAAATTGTATTGAAATGCTTTTAATTTAAGCCACTTTGAGTCTCTTTGTGGAGAGAAAAAGCAGGGTATAAATAAACATAAACATAATAATAGAGCTGCCATTTCTAAAAGCAATCTCCTGAAGACCTCAAGAGCCCTCACCTTGGAAGATGTGGTTACGGCCAAATTTGGGGATGTCAGGATGCTGGGCAATGAAGTCTTCCAGGAAGCTAGTGAGATGATAACCTTGCCGTAGCGCCAGGTGAGATCCAAGAAGGTACTGGTGCACAATGCGCAGGTGGAAGTCATAACTGAATGAGTGCACATGCATGAGATCGCGCACCTTGTCACACTCTTCTGTGAAGAGCATAGAGAGCTAAAGAGGACAAGGGAGAAGAGCTGGAGTGAACCTGGCAATGCTAAAGTGCTGTTTTGTGAGGCTGGAGGGAAGTAGTCAGGAAGGTAACGAGAAAAAGGGGTTGTGACAGAAGCAGCCTGATTGGACATTCACTCCATTACTGACATTACTCAACCTAAAGAGGCATGTAGAAAAAACACTGGTATCTTCACAGGAAAAAGATTGGTCAGCAGTCCCTAGGCACTGATCCCTAGTGACAAACATCTGATCAGTTTTCAATAGAAAGCATCATACCTTAACCAGCACAATCCTCACCCAGTAGTTCTCTTGCTGTTGGTAAGTGCCTGCTGTGCTACTTCAGGAATAGGCAAAATTGGCTCACAAAAACAGAGGCACTAATTTTGATCAGAAATAGGACACCAACTTAGTCAGTATCATAAATCAAATAATCCAGGAGGAAACAGGGTGCTAATATAGCAGGGCTGGCTCCCGTGCCAGGAGAAGTAGACATAAGCCAAAAGTTCAATTCTGTCTCTTCCTGAGGGCTTAGCCTATATTATTTGGGGAGGAGGGGACTGTGGCTTTGAGAACAGGAATGAACATCATACATATGTATTATAATAAATGAAATAAGCAAGTGTAGAAGCTGAGATGGCTCCTTTCCAATATGAGTATTACTCCTGAGAGGGCTTTGTGGGTCTACATTCATGATTTGACATATCACCATTCAATATACAAAAAGAAAAAAAGCCAATTAGAAAAAAAACTGGCAAAAGATACTTAAACCTAATGTAGTGAAATAACACATTTTTTTTTCATATATGTCCAGGCTTTTCTCAAATGACACCACAACAGAATATATGGGATTAATATGAAGACAAAAAGGAACACAGGAAGTGCTGGTTCAATTTAATTTGGGAGGAAAACTCTGATATGTCTAATCCAGGATAACAAATAAAGAATCTGGAGGAATCTACTTTTGACAAATGAATTAAGGTTGTGGAAAAGAGAAACTGCCATTTGCAAACAGGTTGATGCTTTTCACGCAATCACAAAAATGACCACAGAGGTGTCACACAATGTCACTGATATTGCCAAATGCAAGTGTTTTTTTTTATTTTAAAAAAATCCAATTTTATCTATTTCATAGGAATTTTAGGTCTAAAGGAAAGGGTCATCTTTGAGCTCTTGAAACTGGAATGATAAACTTGAAAATGTAAAAGACAGTATCTTCTAAATGATTAAAAAATGAGAGTCTTAAAGTAACTTTGACACTCTACGACTTAAGTAGCTTCTTTTTATATTTCGGTAATTCCCTATCCATCCCCGTGGATCCCAGTCCACACTTCTATCACCTGCTAATATCCCGTGAGTGTCATTCCTCATCTTCTTTTACTACAATTTTACTATTGCCATTAGGATATAATACTTCAACCCAGCATGAGCTTTCATGTTGACTTCTGCTGACAGACTGCCTCATGAATGAAAGTAGAATTCATTGGGTTAAATAACTATAATTTACAGTTTATTTTGTCTCTGCATTTAGTTTTTTTCCTAGTTGCATGATGCAAGTTTCTGACTTGAAAGTGAACAAAGGTTGAATTAAGGATAGTTTATAGAATCATTATTCAGGTTGAATCACTACATTTTGAGTTCTGGAATCCACAAGCTGCTTTTGGAAGTCTCCAAGAATTAACTCAAGGAGAAACCAACCGCTTATTGATTTAAAGTAAGGAATGACACTCAGGAGGATTAGCTTTCTGTGTTCCTTTGCACCCAAGTGTCATATTCTGGCTCCTCCATAGTGCAGTTAAGAGACCCGGTGGATGACACATAACCAAAACACTGAACAAACCCGAAGAAAAGATGAGGTTTTCTTCTCATACTCAGTCCAAAAGTCAATCTAGTGAGATAATAAAAAATAAAAACTTGCAGTTTCTCAAGTCGCTCCTGATATGAAAAAAAATGTCTAAATTTCAGGATTGCCAGAAAGCTGCTGACTGTATCTTACACTCAGGATAAAGATGCAACACCAATGCCTTATTTCTGGAGGTATCTGTGTTGCATGTTTCAGTTGCAAAGGTTGCCACATCCTACTCTGCAGGAAATGTAAAGGTAAAGGTTTCCCCTTGACATTAAGTCTAGTTGTGTCCAACTCTGGTGCTGATCTCCATTTCTAAGCTGAAGAGCCGGCGCTGTCCGTAGATGCCTCCAAGGTCATGTGGTCGGCATGACTGCATGGAGTGCTATTATCTTCCCGTTGAAGCAGTACCAATTGATCTACTCACATTTGGATGTTTTTGAACTGCTAGGTTGGCAGAAGCTGGGGCTAACAGCAGGAGTTCACCCTGCTCCCCGGATTCAAACCTTTCGGTCAGCAAGTTCAACAGCTCAGCAGTTTAACCCGCTGTGCCATTGGGGGGCTCAGGAAATGTGCAGGCAATTCCAGTTGTTATATGCATACTACAATAAAGGAAACTTCAAACAAGAAACTGTAACATTGTCCTGCTCTTCAGGAGATGCCTGTGCCTTCTCTCATTTACAGATTCCAGAGGCCATGTCCAAAGCCTGAAAAGGCTAAAGGAGACATCCAAGATGAAGCATAAAATAGATGAAGATTACAATTTCTTTTTTCTAAAGCAGGGATGGGAATTGTGTCAGTTTCCAGATCTTACTGGACTGCAACTTTTGTCAGTGCTACTCAGCATAAGCAACAGTAAGGAATGCTAGGAATTCTAGCTGAACAGTTGCAGAACAAAGTAAACTAACCCAAAGAATATAATTTGGAGCCTATCCTGAACAATAGGTCGCAAAACACATGGCCTTGCCGAGTCTTCCAACTCAGCCACTAGTTCTTTCAGGCCTTCTTCCACATTTATTTCAACAACATCTATATCCACCCGAGGACAAGCCAGAACACAGTGATATTACCTGTGAGTTGACAGTCTGGCCCATGGGGAGTCTTGAGCACTCCAGCGCATATTGCTTTACGCAGAAATAGCAGCCCTAAACAAGAAAAAAAGCTTAGATCCTGGATCCCATCTTTTCCCCAAGGCCATACCCTGCAGGCATCAAAATTCATTTCTGCTTAGCACAGCTAGTTCAAGGGTTGCATTGTTGCCTCCAGCCAAGCTGAACAATCTCATTCTATCCTTTTCCTTCGAGGATGAAACTGGTACTCAGGCACAGCTGATCATATTTTTACATTCCTCTGCTGTGCAAACAGAGCAGCAGGTCTATCAAAACCCTGCAGTGGCTCTTTGCCACTTAACCATTCAGATTGGAAGATGGTTCCCACTTACTTGGAAAGCCAGCTCCATCAGCACTATGCCCCCAGGCAGAGCTCGTTGCAAATGGTATGTGGTGACAGGAGGGCTGGTGCTCTGGAAGAGAAGAATATGCCCTGTTACAATGCTAGGAAAGGGATGAAGGAAATGCCTACAAAATATGTCCCAGCTCTTTTTCAAAGTGCTAAGCTTCCCTATCTGTCAGGGATGTGGAACCTTTAAACCTATAGATATTTTGGACTACAAGTCCCATAATTTCTTATCATTAATGACGCTGGCTGGGGCTTTACAAATCCAAAACATCTGGAGGCCCAAAGATTTCTCACCCCTGCTATGTGGAATGAATTATCTATGCCATCCAAATTTTCAGACCCCTTCAAACAATACCAAAAGTAGTCACACACCTTTGGACTTCCTTCAGCCTTTGGCCTAGTGTATGAGAAGGACCCGCGTCCCTCACTGCCCATTGCTGCCAGAGCTCTGATCCGGCTGGTGCTGCTGAAAACCGGGAGAGGGATAAAAATATGTCATTTATACACTTCTGAATGCATGAGTTATTAAACAGACTTGAAAACACAATTAATAAGATTCCTGACTGCATCCTCTTTGGGAGAATTCAACAAATCTTCCAGGCATCTCCCGAACATTTTTTGAAGCCACAATTTTCAGGAGATCCAAGCATTTAAAAAGTGGCCTTATGCTATGCACTCTGCTGCTGCTCCTGAAATTGCCTATGCTCAAAACCTTATACCACCCTCCACCTGCCAATTCTCACTAACCTCCGAGTGGGTGAGGCTGGGCGCACCTGCACCAGGATAAAGCCCATGCTTTGCAGGTACTGGATATATTGCTGCAGGAAAGTGTGACACAACTCCAGGAGCCAGGCCTCATCTTTGGTCCTACATGGCAGTCCCTCTGCGGAATCACAGCTATGGCTGCGGTCTCTACTAGATGCTGTGGAATCATTTGAACGATGCCGCTTCTAAATAGTAAGTGAGAAATAAGAAGCCATAAGAATCTACTGTATATACTCGATTATAAGCCGCGTTTTCCAGCTCTTTTTTTGGACTGAAAAAACCTGCCTCGGCCTATACTTGAGTCAAGATTATTTATTATTTTACTCTGTTATTATTATTATTTTACTCATCATTATTATTTTTAATTCCATTTTTTATTTTACAACCAACCCACACAACTTAGTGAGTTCCAGTTGGCTTCTGTAAATTAAGGTTGGATGTTTGTTCAGATTTTATGCCATTATATAATTTTTGTCTGGCTACATATTTTCAATTTATTGATGTCAGGTTTAATTTGATGTTATGTTTTATATTGTTTTCATATGTGGGATTTTTCTGGGACGGTATTTGCTTGTTTTATAAAGGCACTGAATGTTTGCCGTTGTATGTTAGAATCCACCCTGGGGAGTCCCTGGGGAGATAGGGCAAAATACAAATAAAGTTTTATTATTATTATTACTCTATTTATTATTATACTGACACAAAAACACAGTATATCACAGCAAACAAGATCTATATGCTGGATTTTGTATCACAAAATCACAAGTTGAACACTTCCCAAGCGCCTAGGATTGTGTGATGTATTTTCGAATGATGTGCGCAGATCCACGTAAGGTTGCCTTTTGCAGCTGACAGCTCGTGATTTTGTCAATGTTTATTATTTCCAAATGCTGGCTGAGGTCTTTTGGCGCAGCACCCAGTGTGCCGATTACTATTGGGACCACCTGTACTGGTTTATGCCAAAGCCTTTGCAGTTCAATTTTGAGCTCTTGATAACTGTTGAGTTTTTTCTGTTGTTTTTGTCTATTATTATTATTATTATTATTATTATTATTATTATTATTATTATTATTACATTATTTTTCTCTATTATTTATTATTACATTTATTATTTTTCTCTATTATTGTTATTACATTAATTTTATTATTGAAAGGATACATAAGCACATTTATTTGAAGGTTAGAAAAATGGTTTGATCAAAGTTGGACAGTCTTATCTTAAATAACGGTTTTATGTAAATATTCAAAAACATTTAACCTACTGATGCCTCAATTAATGTAATTTTATTGGTTATCTATTTTTATTTTGAAATTTGCCACTAGCTGCTGCATTTCCCACCCTTGGCTTATATTCGAGTCAATATGTTTTCCCAGTTTTTGTGGTAAAATTAGGTGTCTCGGCTTATATTCAGGTTGGCTTATACTCAAGTATATACAGTACTTTAGATGGACTTCTGGGCTTTGGTTTTGCACAACACACAAGGACTGCAACATAATATGAATGGAATGGCATTAGCCAGCCAACATGACTTCTAGATCTTTCATCGAGTTAGCCAGCCAGATCTAACCAAGTGGTGGGGAAGCTCAACTAAGGAGAAAAATGTTGCTCAAGTGCCTCCTCTTGGGAGAAAAGAACATGGAAGAAAGCAGTAGCGGAATTATAACTATTCTTTCCCCTCTTCCTGCATTTTACCTTTCCCTCTGGCTTGCTCTGTTGATCAGTTTGAATCTGTTGCCGGAAAGTGGGATCAAAGAGTAGAGGTGTAGCACAGTAATGGACCAAACGTGATGACTGCTTCAGAGTTTCCAAATCAGCAAGCTGTGAACACACATTAAGGAGATAGCCATCCTATATCTTAGTAACCATCACAAACATTCCAAACAGCTATACTGTACAAAAAATAGGTATAAAGACCATCTATAGAGAAAGAAAGGATAACTGCAAGGTCAGTCAACAAAGGTTTTGTTCCAGGACACTGACAATCTATTTATTTATTTAGAGCGTTTATATCCTGCCCTTCAAGGACAAAGATTCCAACAGGAGAACATATGCAAATATGACAGGGGCAACCAATCTATGCAACATAGAAAATACAGTGTCTGTTTCATTTTGATTAGTTTTGCTTATCTTTTTATTTTTAATTACATGAGTTAGAGTTTGGTTCCTAGTCCTCAACATATTCAAAACTTACATATGTAAAATCTACCATTTTGAGAATAATGGAAGTTAGTTTGCTACTTTGTCAGGCTGAGAAACACCCATTTATGCAACACCATGCAATATTGGTCATCTAGAGACAGGTAGAGAGGAATGGGGGAGGATAGAATATGTGAGGAACATCCATGTTATAAACCATAGGCTGTATCAATTTGGTCTGAAGAAAATGAGTTTAGGCCCCATATCAAGTAAATACTTCTCATTGGAGCTTTGAATTGATTTCCAGATGAGTGTGCACCAGAATACAGAGGCCCTCTAGAATTAAAAGTCTTCTTATGGAAGAAGCTTGCTTCACCGATGTCTCTCTTACTTTTCTCTGAGAACAAGGCCATCTGTATATTGTAGAATTGGCACAAATATCTCACATGGAAGCAGTGTCCACAATCCCAGCACTGCCTATCTCCACCAACTCACACTGATTGGCACGTTGGACTGCGCAGAGCGTTGTTGCCATGTCATAAAAAGGTTCTCGATCTTCATCTGTTTCTCCAACTCTGTGGAACAGAAGTAGGAGCTGAGGAGAGCAGGCCCAGAACTTCAAACACACTCCTGCCTTCTCAGTGCTTCATATCATGTGTACACACACAAATTCAATGTCTCTATTCTATGCTATCCCTTCCCTCTGCATATCTCTACTCCCAAGCACAATAATGCCCTTCCAGATATTATTGGAATGCCAACTCTCATCATGATTAGGTAAAACAGCCAATAGTGGGAGACAACATTTGCAATCAGGATGGTCACAACTGTTCATCCTTTTCTTGCAACCAGTCACAATTACGCCTTTCATGCAGACAGCCCCGAAGTATCAATGATCGTTCCCCATCTCACGGCTGCAAGAGATCTCTCTCTCTCTCTTACTTATTACTTCTTTTGTGAATCATTTTTATTCAAATATTCAGACGAAGAAAAAATAAACTTATAAAATACAACAACACAAAATGAAATTAAACTACAATAAAAACATTTTTCTTTATATACAAAGGTGACTGACACACATTTATCTGCATCATACAACCTATATACAACCTACTTTCTACACTAACCTATAAGCCTCTCATTCATTGCCTGTTACTCTAATTTCTTAGTTGTTGGTCCTTTTAAGTATCACTTTATTTTTACCATTCTGCTTTTAAAAACTTTCCTATATCAGAAAAACAATCCTTGAAAATTGTCCCCATCTTTGATGTATAAAAGTATTAAGTATGTCCCAGTCTTTCTTGAATTCAGTCAATGATTTCTTCTTAATCAACATTGTAAATTAGTCCCTCTCCACTAAGCCACATATTTTTTATCAGTCAATCTTCTTGCGTCGGCGTACCTGGTTCTTTCCATCTCTTGGCATAGATAATTATCACTGCTGCAATCATATTTAACAGTAACCTTCCATATTTCTTTTCAGATTGGTCATTATATCATCCCTAATGCAGTTCAGGTTTCATTGTAATGTTAACCCTTACAATATCATTCAGCACATATGGTAAAATGTTTCAATATTTTTTGTAAAATTTCCAATAATTACTGGATCTACTTTCATACGTTTTAGAAAGCCTCTCTGGTGTCAGCTACCAGATCATTATATTTCAAATCATTAGTAAAAGTAAAGGTTTCCCCTGACTTTAAGACTAGTCGTATCTGACTCTGGGAGGGTGGTACTCATCTCCATTTCTAAGCTGAAGAGACAGCATTGTCTGTAGACACCTCCAAAGTCATGTGGCCAACATGACTGCATGGAGTGCCGTGGAGTCCTTCCTGCCGAAGCAGTACCTATTTATGTACTCACATTTGCATGTTTTTGAACTGCTAGGTTAGCAGAAGCTGGGGCTAGTACCAGGAGCTCACCCCACTTCTCGGATTCGAACCGCCAACCTTTCGATCAAGCAAGTTTAGCAACTCAGGGATTTAACCTGCAGCACCACCAGAGGGCCCTTCAAATCATTTCATAAAGTGAATTTCATACTCTGTGCCCAGACTTTCTCCCATTGTTCCAGTTTTATTTATCTGCCTATATTTTGTGCCCATTTAACCAAACAATCCTTCACCTGTTCTACCTCCACTCTCTCCCTTACTTCTGTCCTCTAGCTTACCTTTTCTCTCTATGTTCTTGATCTCTAGGAACTGAGCTCCATGCTGGGCCACATGATCGAGTGCACTCAGCTCAGGGCTGTGAAAGACAGGCCGACTGACAGAGACGTCACGAAGAGCCTCATCAAAGGGCACCATGTCAGGAGGGAAGTGAAGTGGTTGCATGATGCGAGTGGAACCACTGAGCCGGCCTTGCTCCTTGCTGGGGGGGACACCAGAGCTGCGGATCAGGGTGTCCACCTCCAGAGTGGAATTCAGGAAGGGATTTGGCTCCTAGACACAGAGATACCTAGTGAGCATCCTTTATGGGCACAGAACCGACATGTGATTTCATAAAAATCAGGGTTACCTGTTTGCTGTCTTCATGCCACGGAGTATCCATGTAGCAATAGTGGTGGAAAAGCCCAAGCTTCTGGCTGAGCAGGCAGTGCACCACATGGGCACGGGCATTTTGCCACTGCAGCAAGCGAGTGAGAGAGCTGCTCAAAGCACTGCCCAGGTCCATTGACCAATTGTAGGTATACAGCACCAGCTGGAAGAGAAAGGTAGACCAATGAGCCTCACATACTTATATTATTGGCTACAAATAGCCAGCATACAAAAGCTTCCCAGTTTTAACAAAGTCCAGGAATTTTGCACAGGCCAGGAATGAAACTTGGCATGAAATGTACCTTTTTGTCCACAATTTCCATGAACAGGAACCTTTGCCGGGGAGCGACATCAGAACCCTTCTCTGCAGAGCCAAGCTCTGTGGCCTCAAAACGCTGGAAACCTTTGAGAGCTAGAAGAGATTGCAAAGTGGAGTTGAGCTCTGGAGATTCTTACCCAGAAGACCCAGAGGAGGCAAAGAAGGTGCTACTTATTGGGGACTGCCAGGAAGTTCACTCACCTGGTTCTGTACTGCAGCGCCATTGGTGAAAGCTACGCCCCAGCAGTGTAAAGTGTCGAATAACAGCTGGTTGAGCACTGGAGCCTAGTGTGAGCGTGTATGGCACAAAGGATGTCCCTTGAGGACCACTGCAGCAAAGAAGAACATACATCAATTTCTACTCTATAGACCCCTTGTTCACAATGTGTTACTCTCTCCCTAGCAAGAAAGCATCCAAGCATCATACGTGGCATCACATCAGTTAATCTACCAAGCTACCATATATGCTCGAGTATAAGCTGAGCTTTTCAGGCCTTTTTTTAGGCTGAAAAAGCCCCCCTCGGCCTATACTCGAGTCAAAGTTATTTATTATTTTGCTCTATTATTATTATATTACATTTAATATTTTACTCTATTATTATTATTATTATTATTATTATTATATTATTATTATTATTATTATTATTACATTTACAATACTTTACTATTATTCTTTTTTACATTTATTATTTTGTTCTATTTATTATTATTATTACATTTACTTTATTTTATTATTATTACATGTATTATTTTGCTCTATTTATTATTTCATTTATTATTTCATTTTATTATTGTTGTTCTTACATTTATTATTTTACTCTTATTATGTTATTTTTATTAATTTATTATCATACTCTATTATTGCTGGAAGGATACATAAGCCCATTTACATGGAAGGTTAGAATAATGGTTTAATCAGAGTTGAACAGTCTTATATTAAATTACAGTTTTATGTAAATATTATTACTGATGCCTCAATTAATGTCATTTTATTGGTATCTATTTTTACTTTGAAATTTAACAGTAGCTGCTGCATTTCCCACACTCAGATTATACTCGAGTGAATACATTTTGCCACTTTTTTTGTGGTAAAATTAGGTGCTTTGGCTTATATTCGGGTCGGCTTATACTTGAGTATGTACAGCAATTGACAAAAGAGTGCAGCCCCAATACCTACCTGACTTTTTCGAATACTTTGACAGACGTGTCATTTGCCAAAGTGGTGACTAAGTTCACTATTTCAAGCATGATGGAGGGGAGCAGGAAGCGGGACACACTCTCCGTGGCACAGTGTTGCACTGAAGGACACCCTGGTTAGGAAAGAAATACCATGCAAGCAATGATTGGGCAAATCTCTGCAAAACATTTGTTTTGAAAGGTAGTAGCTGAAAAGCCTAATATCATCAGTGAAATTTTAATTAGATAGGCCTTTGGCTGTTAACTGGCTATTGCAAAAAATCTCTTAATGGGGATGCTGTACTTTTACCTTCATTACCTGTTTTAAGTTAGTGTTTTAATTATAATGCTTATTTAATTAAGTAAAGAACTTTGTACTATAAATTGTTTTAGCTGTGTCAGGTTTTAAATTATGTTGTAAGCTGGTTTGGGTTCCACATTAAGAAAAAGAAAAGAAATAAATTAAATTAAATTATTAAATCGAATTAAATTGAATTAAAAGACTCTAGGGAGACCATTAATAGCTGTTTGCTGTCCTGAGGCGAAGAAATAAAAATCATTCCACAGCATAGCTATGTTGTTGCACAGATGAAACCTGTAACAACAGAGCTAGGCATTTTATTCTTTATTATCTGTTTTGTATGCTGCTACTTTTCCCCATTCTGGATCAAAAGCTTCTGTGCTCAGAGATGTCAGAACAATAATTAAAAGTTAACATGTATATATAATTTGTTTTTGTCACAGTATCCAATATATAGAATCATAGAGTTGGAAGAGACCTCATGGGTCATCAATTTTCCTGCCAAGTAGCAGGAAAATCGCATTCAAAGCACCCTTGACAGATGGACATCCAGCCTCTGCTTAAAAGCCTCCAAAGAAGAAGCCTCCACTACACTCTGAGGAAGAGCTCCACTGCTGAACAGCTCTCAGAGTCAGGAAGTTCTTCCTAATGTTCAGCTGGGATCTCCTCTCCTGTAGTTTGGAGCCATTGCTCCGCATCCTAGTCGCCAGGGCAGCAAAGAACAGGCTTGCTCCCTCCTCCCTATGACTAATTACATTGTATATACCTATACCTTCCTATAATTACAACATATATACCTATTATCTGTAAATATGTGATATGTGTCTGTGACATCTAATGGTGGGAAATAGGCAGGCAAATGGGGAAGGTAAGTATTGACAGCCGGCTCAAAAGAAGCACTCTTTGACCATGTCTGCTTGGTCTTATTCACGTTTCCGAGTCTGTAGCATCATCTCCATATTTGCAAGCTTCTCTCCCCTGCAGCTGGAGAAATCTGAATATCACGGTTCTTCCTTTGGAACCTCAGGATTTAAAACTCTTCATGAATAGAGAAGTAAGGGCAAGTGCTCTCCAGACTAGGGTTAGTTGAGGCTGATTCAAATAGTGAAAGAACAAGTCCATATATTCCAACACATACCCAAACGGTTCATGAATGTCATCCAGGACTGGCAAGTTTGATTGAAAATGGGGTGTAGGACTCCAATATCTCCTTCCTCTAGCTGGCAGGCTCGACGTCTATGGAAATAACACCCATTATTCCATGTCAAAAGAACATCTGTTGTTCCATGTCAAAAACAAAGGAATATTAAGGAGGATACCCAAAAAGAACAAAGTCAATAAAGCAGTGGGTTATTGTAGTTTTTTTTTCCGGGCTATATGGCTATGTTCTAGAGGCATTTCCTCTAGAGGCATTTCCTCTAGAACATGGCCATATAGCCCGAAAAAACCTACAATAACCCAGTGATACCAGCCATGAAAGCATTCGACAATATAATAAAGCAGTTCTTCTTTCAAGACTTTTCTTACAGTATACAAGCATTGTTCATTTCAAGAGCTGGTCTGAGGAAGGAGAGAGAGCATGAACTTTGCAGACACACTTTTCTCCAACTAATGAGGAACAGACTGAATTGTATATGGAGGAAATGTCCTCTCCCAAGCTTTCCTGGAAGAAGAGAGTGGGAAAAAGAAGACTATGAGGTCTACCTCTGGGTCTGTCCTTGTTCACCACGCTCCTGGCTGGAAAGCTGCTTCACATTTTCTGTCTTGTGGCGTCGGCGGGTGCGACTCTCTTCAGGTCGTTCCAACACAATGTCATCTGTGGTCTTGGGGCTTCCTTGCTCCACCGTCTCTGGTTTGCTCTGAGAATCAAAGCAAGAAACTAAAGAGAGGCTTGCAGCCGACATACCTGTTTCCCATCACCTTGGTCAGACTGTTTCAGACTTCAGGTCCAAGCAAGTTTCTGTATCAACATTACTACTATACTTAGCATGTAGATCAGGCATGGGCAAACTTCAGCCTTCTGGGTGTTTTGGACTTCAACTCCCACAATTCCTAACAGCCGATAGGCTGTTAGGAATTGTGGGAGTTGAAGTCCAAAACACCCGGAAGGCCGAAGTTTGCCCATGCCTGATTTAGATAGAACTTCTAATTTACTCAGAGGCTTGCATACAAGCATTCTCAATAACTTTGATAAGTAATCCTATAGATTAAGTTAGTGCTCTCTTAATGAATAAACTGCAGGTATAAATTCTATGACTACAACTTGAAACACGCTTAAAGAGCAAAAAAGACAATTTGTCAGGAGTGATTTGATTGAGTGTTCCTAGTTCCTACATGGCAAGGACTGGACTGGATTGCCATAACGGTCTCCTTCCATCTTTGAATATATGAGTCTATAAAAGTCACTTTAGAGATAGTGTATGCAGCTTAAAAATACTAAAGGTTGAACATCTCTTATCCAGAATTCTAAAATACTCCAAAATCCAAAACTGTGTACAAGGGAGACTGACATTGTGATAGCTTCTCTATCTGATGGTTCAATGTACCACACACCATTACATGCACAAAACTATTAAAAACATTGTATAATGTTATCCCCAGACTAATGCGTATAAAGTATTCATGGAACATAAAGGAATTTCATGTTTAGAATTGGGTCTCATCTCTTAAGATACCTCATTATGTATATACAGGCAGTCCCCAAGGTATGAACAAGCTTTGGATAGCACAGAGTTAACACCCCTGTGATGTTTGTTTTGCTGTCTGTGCGCCTGTTTGGAAGACTTCACCACACTTTCCGTCCCTGTGATACTTGGGAGTTGGAGAAATTTGGCTTGTTGTGGAAACAAGGATGATGATAAAGCAATAGTCGAGACATCTTTTCCCCATGATAACTCTTTCAAGAATGAATTTCACTCCCTACAGGTAGATTTCTCTCACTTCCTATTTTCTCACCCCTGGTCTTAACTATGAATCATTTGTAAGTCAGATGTTTATAACTCGGGGGCTGCCTTTATATGCAAATACAGGTATTCCAAAACCTGAAAAAATCCAAAAGACTTGAAGTCTCAAGCATTTCAGATAAGGATTTCTCATTTTTTATCAGGATTGTACCACAAGATTTTTTTTTTCATGTCAGGAGCGACTTGAGAAACCCCAGCAGTATTCACATTTAGGTGTATCAAGTATTTGTGCCAAATTTGGTCCAGTGAATGAACAGACATCCTGCATATCAGGTATTTACATTACGATTCACAACAGTAGCAAAACTACAGTTATGAAGTAGCAACAGAAATAATTTTATGGTTGGGAGTCACCACAACATGAGGAACTGTATTAAGAGGTCGCGGCATTAGGAAGCTTGAGACAACTGATCTAGCAGCTCATAATTGTTGGCTGGTGGACTGAGTTTGGCTTAAGTAGCTGTAAACTAGCTTAGGGTTCCACCCTGCTCTACTGCTTTAATCTACTACTCTTTTTTCTCATCTCACATTATGCCCTCAGCAGATATCCCACGATCATCTTCTCATGAAGTCATTACCAGCATGTCCCAGAAGCTACGTCGTCCAATTCTGTTAGTGGGTGTGGCTGGCTCACCAGCACCTGCAGTGGGCACAGGGAAATTCAAGGAGGATGGACATCCTCTGCCTCCAGTAGACCGACTTGTTCCTTTACTTTCAGACATTGTCCGCCGCAGGTTTCCTGAAAACATGGTATCTTTCAGAACCATTCGTAAAACCATAGTTTTTGAGTCTAAACTACTCCAGAAACACCTATTCTGCCCTTCTATGAAGCCCCAAGAAAAACAATGATACCGATTCTGGGCCTTTCCACAGGAAGAACTGTCTTCTGTCTCTTTGATTTCTTGCTGTTGTATGATTGGCAACAATATGGGCTCTTTCCAAAGCTGTATTAGTTTTAGTGGATTGTTGTAGTTGCTGATATAGCCCACTGAAGCCCACTGCAGCCTCTGAAAGAGGCCAAACTGTAGTCAGTCCTATGAAAGCAAGAGACCAAAGAAACAGAAAGTAGTTCTTCCAGAATGGTGGGGCTTTGGGTAAAAAGGCCTACATATGCTTTTTCAAAAAGGCCACAGCTCAGTAGCAGAGCAAATTGTGCTGCTGGGCCTTTCCACAGGAATAACTGCCCCCAGTATCTTGTTTTTAGAGGACTGGCAACAATATGGCTTCACAGATGCAGACCCCAGCATCTCCAGGTGAGGCTGGAGTAGATAATAATAATAATAATAATAATAATAATAATAATAATAATAATAATAATTATATTATTATTATTATTATTATTTATCTTTTCACCCGCTTTTCTCCCACGGATGGGACTCAAAGTGGAGTACAAAAAATAAAGACAGCTACATAATACAAAAAACCCACCAACCCACCCACCAAACACACAACAATAAATCCACACCTTACATAAACACAAACTTTATTTGAAGTGGAACTGCAAGTTAATCTGAATGAGCTTCCTAACCACTGGTTGAAAGGATTGAACTTGCAGTCCAATACATCTGTAGGGCAGAAGCTGGGGCAGCCTGAGATAGGGATATTAATGTTAAAATTTAGTATAAAGCAAAGCAACATTCCACTCTGCTGTAAAGCCATCACCTGTGGACTGGTGTAAGATTTGATGAAAGCATCTGGCTGGTGACTCAGACTGGATCTCCACTGCCTTATGTCCCACAATCCGATCCCAGACTAGCCGCTTATCCCAGGATTATCTGGCAGTATAGACTCATATAATCCGATTCAAAGCAGATAATCTGGGATCAGATTCTGGGCAGTGTAGATCCAGCCTCAGAAACAGAAAGGGGCATCTGTTCCATGCTAGGTTCTTACCAATGCTCCCATGATCCTCTTGTTCGGTGGATAGTTCAACACACAATGGATTGGGCAGCACACGGAATTCCATGAGTGCATCACAGAGTGCATGGCGCAAGGCACTGCGCAACCTTTCAGACAGCTGCAACAAGCTGATGTTACCCTTTTCCCAGATGTCCAGGCGCACCAGAGGACAGAGGGCTGTGGAGGGAAAGCTGGTATCAAGAAGATGGATCTTAGAAGAGGTGTGGAATACTATTCCACTGAACTCCTGGAAACCATCTCAGGTCTCAGGTATCTCCAAACACATTATCATGCCCATAAGTTGTCACATTTCCCAAAGAGAAAATGAGAGAGTAGACCAAACTCCTACTTTCTCACCTGGCTGTGAAGTGCCAGGCTCGGATAGATACTTGCTAACAGCAGTTAAACTCTCAAAGTCAGCCTCCTGAAGGAATGTTGTGCTCAGAAGTGCAGTGGGTGGCCTCACCCAGCGAGCCAAGGAGATGGGATTTCCACGGTCATCCACAAAAGAAAGAGCAATACACGCAATACCTACAAAGGAAGTGAGAGGAATGTTTGAGATCCAAAAGTCCCAGTCCTTGAGAACATGTTACAGACACATAGTCATCCTTGGGGTGCAACTCAAGGACATAAATAACTAAACGTATATATCTAATCTTGATGGCAGGCAGGAAGGAAGGACAGACACAAACAGCCAAGGAAGTTCGCACATACATAAGGGCAAAAAAAAAAAAAGACACCTGCACCTGCTAGAAACTGGTTTCAAGCTTCCACCTGCAGAAAGGGGCATTCATCATAAGCTCTGCAAAGGCAATTAAGTAACAGAAGATCGAATACTCATTGTTGGGCATCACTGCCTGAAACTAGCCAGCAGTGGCAAGCAAGCAAGCAGCTCGCCCCTCAAGTTAAGCTGGGGAGAGCTTCCAGTTTGCATTGCTAAGCAAAGTGACAAGTGAAAACTAGGCCTCTATTTTCAGTAGGACTCACAACATCCTATGAGGTTTCTATTAGTTCTACCTCTACATGACACAAGCTTTCCAAAGGGAAAAAAAGTCTGCATGCCTGAGGAATGGAACAAAAACCTTGCCTGAACATATCTTACCATACATAGAAGCCTTAGAAATATTCCTTAGTAAATGTGCACTACTAGATGTGTTATGTTGTCGAAGGTTTTCATGGCCAGAATCACTGGATTGCTATGAGCTTTCTGGGCTGTATGGCCATGTTCCAGAAGCATTCTCTCCTGATGTTTCGCCCACATAAATATGGGCAAAACGTCAGGAGAGAATGCTTCTGGAACATGGTCATACAGCCCGGAAAACTTACTAGATTTATGCTTTGTCCACTATTACCTTTTTGACAAAGCCTGAAGTTAAAAGAATAGTTAGGAATAGCAGCTGTCTTAATCGTGCATAATCGTAAGGCTGGCAGGACCAGGAGATCACTCTGTTCTACTGGCTAAATAACTCCAGCACATATGAATCCATACCTCAGATATAAGCCACTGGAGGAATCTGCAAGAAAAGGCCCTTTGACCAGCTAGCAACAATAGATGACTTCAATGAGGTAATCAACAAGATACAAGAAAAAGCACACTACTATCTTCAGTGCCCATCAACTTGAGGTTCTCAACAAATATCAGGTAAAGGTTTTCCCCTGACATTAAGTCCAATCATGTCCAACTCTGGGGTGTGGTGCTCATCTCCATTTCTAAGCCGAAGAGCCGGCATTTTCCATAGATACCTCCAAGGTCATGTAGTCGGCATGACTGCATGAAGCACCATTATCTTCCAGTCAGAGCGGTACCTATTGATCTACTCATATTTGCATGTTTTCGAACTGCTAGTTTGGCAGAAGCTGGAGCTGACAGCAGCTCCCCGGAATCGAACCTGCAACCTTTCGGTCAACAAACCCACTGTGCCACAAATATCAATCTGCTTGTAGTCTTGCAATTTATTCTGATTTGGAGCACAGAAACAAATCCTAGTGTATTCATTAGATAGTTGTATGCCTGAATACCCCCATCAGCCTGGACGGACCAGTTGTAACAACCCATCCATCCACTTGTCTCTACTTACAGCAGTTCCTTCCTAATATAAAAGAGCACCATGCAATCATTCTACCACAATTTCAAAATCAGATGGGAAAACAATTCCATATTGACTGCGAGTCAAAAACAATATATCAAAACAGATTCTGCTCTACATATTCATGAAAGTCTTTTAAGATCTGTAGATCTTTGTGCCTACAAATGTTCTGAGGCTGTTAGGGGAAAAAACTTGTTATTTTTCATTCAAAATTTAAGAGTAGTCATTAATTTCTATATTCACAGAAAATTTTAAACTTGAACTTGAATTCTAGCTCTAGTATATTTCGAAAGGGGAATTGGGAGTTAGAAAATTCTGCTGAGAGAGATCTGGGTGACAACACAGGAGAAGCAAAGTTGGCAATACAAGCAGAAACAAAAAACGCAGCAGGCACTAGATCAGGATGAAGACGGGAGCAGCACTGGAAGAATTCAGTGGACCACTGGGATCTACAGGAAACTACCTTGAAACTGGGAAGGTGGAAACAGGTGTTGCACAAGATCCAGCATGGAACCTACATGACAGAAGAATGTTCAGACACACTTTGACGTTGTGTGATACATGCACAACCAGACCATAGTGCAGGTGGAAAAGGAGGCAAGTGTATGCCGAAGTATATACAGGCAGAAAGATACACAAACACACTGAAGTAACACAAAACAGACACCAATTAGTAGTACCAGTCAGGAACAACTCACAGGCTACTATCTGAAATGCCCCACTGCAACCCAACACTACCTTAGTTACTGCATGGACATTGTTTTCATGCTCAGCATCACAAATTCTCTCCTTACCAACTATTTGTCTCCCCAATGAACTATATCAGCTCTAAGCAGGTGCGCTTAACAGTGCATAAGAGCCACCATCTATACTTAAAATTTTGTTGAATCATGAATGAATTATTCAAATGCCTATAATTAAACAGAGTAATTCAAAGGGCTATAAAAAGCTCACTGTTTTACATAGTGCTTAGTACAAGACAGAGGAATATATAAACCTTAGTGGCTTAGCATACAAGAATAAAAAAGCAGAAACTCTTGGGTAAACCTATGGTCTCAGTTAGGCAACCTCATCCACACACACACCAACTTTGCTTTCCTTGAGAAGGACACTTTTAGCAGCCTTTACTTGACAGTTCAACAGAGCAATAGGCCCAGGGTGTAGAAAAAAATGTTGTTCATTACCTTTGCCACCAGTGCCCTGTCCTCCAGGCTTGTTATAGAGATAAAGATCCAGGTCAGGGCTGCTGCTGCCCTGATGGAAATAATGCTGAAAAGTAAGGAGACAACTGTTCAGTTGTTTTCTCATCAACAGAGAATTCAATTGCGAGGTCCCTTAACACCAAAAGAGTGCAGTACAAAATACAGTAACTGTCAGACATGTTAAAAATTAACTAGGTATTTTAATTACAAAAATGTGAGTCAAGCACTGAAAGGGTTAAATGGATGTAATGACTCAGCTAAAGCTGAAGTCCAATACAAGCAGGTGTGCCTGTAGTTTAGCAGCCTTCAGTATGAGAAGGCCTCAGTGGGAGAAAAGCCTCAGTGTGAGGAGCTTTGGTGAGAGAAGCTCCAGGTAGAAAGCCATCATATGTGAAGCTTCAGTGTGAAGGCTGCTGTGTGTAAAGCTACTGTGTGAAGCTCCTGTTTATCTTCAGTGTGAAAAGAGGCTCTGTGAGACCTCAGTTGTTTATCTGCATGAGAAAGAAGCCCAGAGTGGAAGCAAAGAAGGAAGTATAAAGACCATTATTTGTGTTATGGAAACCTTGTTCTTGTAAATAGTTTTTTTTTCCGTGTCAGGAGCGACTTGAGAAACTGCAAGTCGCTTTTGGTGTGAGAGAATTGACCATCTGCAAGGATGTTGCCCAGGGGATGCTCGGATGTTTTGATGTTTTACCATCCTTGTGGGAGGCTTCTCTCATGTCCCCGCATGGGGAGCTGATTGTAAATAGTGCAACCATATTATTTTGCTATAAAGAAAAGCCGCCTATGGAAGAGATAACATTGGTCTGTGTGTTTTTGTTCTTTTTATCACTTTGGGCTACTGGTGCGGGTCATGCTGCTGCTAATAAGTTACTCTGCTGTACTTTTATGGGGAGGATCTTTTCTTATTAATCCCACTTGCCCAACAGTAACAATACATGTTATTTCTTGTGATAGAGCATTTCTAAGCATTGGTCCATTTTTCAGTGCAAAGGTTGATATAGTAGCAGAACAAGGCTTAACCACAAAAAGAGTCCCTAGCATTTCAGTGGTAACATAACACTCCTGGATATTAAATCTCATTGTCCTTTGCACATATTTTTTCAGTCCTTCAGAAAAGAAGAAAAATAAAGTGTCCATAATACTTCTCAATAAGTAACAATGGCCATAGCCAACCATACTGACTCACCTTGAAGTGGTTCTCCACATTGCTGTCCGTGTATTTGGGCGTGTGTAGGAAGATCAGCAGATTCTGACGTAGGTAGCAAGCCACAGCTGGAAGCCACGGTAGGCAGGAGGGGGGAAGAGTAAACTGCAGTACTTCAGTGGGTGGCCTGCCAGGGGGCTGGATAAACTACAAGGAGATGAATCCGTCATCGGTCTGACCTTCTGATCACAGAGTCCAGAGGTCAGAGAATTTTAGCCAAGTAATCAATAGCTTGTCAGGTACAAGAGAAGAGAGTTTGAAACAGTTAAATTGCCATACTGATTGGAAGACTTTAAAAGTTGTGATAAAATAAAAAATTGATTTCCAAGCTCTGAGTCTATCACACTGATTGTGAGATCAGGACAAGTTCCCTGCAATTCAATTTAGGACATAACTATGGTTTTAGCGATGGAGTAGGACTCTAGAGACCAGGGGTCAAATTTCCACTTGGCCTTGAAACTAATACTCTTTCAGCCTCATAGGAAGGCAATGGCAGATGTCTTCCAAGCAAATCACAAAAAAAAATAAAAAATCTTAATGTGGCCATAGGTAGAAACAACTTGAATGCATGAAACAACAAACAATTACCTCTACATCAGCTGGTGTGAGCTTGCAGGTCCTCACAAGCATAACTGTGATGATATCCAAGGTGGCTTCATCCAGGCGCCTACGGAGAACTTTTACTAGCTCATCCGTTATCTCAGGTCCTACAACAAAAAAAGCACCATAAGAAACCTTTGTCTCCTAAGAGTAGCCGAGTCAGGAGGTGTGCCCCCCGAGGGGACTCTGAGCAGATTACAACATACACAGATAGGCAAACATTCAATGCCTTTAATACAGTGGAATAACAATGACATACAAATTCACAGAACACAGATAAAGGCTTCCCCTTTCATCTCCGGCTTTCTGGAGGGGGTGCTCAACTCTGGTCAGGGGGAAGTGCTCCAAGCCAAGGAGCCTGTTGTCCATACACCTCCTGGTTGTATTGCCAGCATGGCTGCATGAGCCCCTTTATTAACTTCCCACCGAAGTGGAACCTATTGATCAACTCATATGTGTAGGTTTTCAAATTGCTAGGTTGGCAGGAGCTAGGGCTAACAGCAGGATCTCACCAGACCCGTGGCTTCAAAGTGCCAATCTTTAGGTCAGTAGATTCAACAGTTCAATGGTTTAACCCGTTTCGTTATTGCGGCTCCCATAGGGATGGTGCTGCCTATGAAGTGAGAGGTGAATAATTGAACTGCAGTCGCTCCATGGTTGCCAACTGCTCTAAAGTATGCCAACAGAAAGGGTAGGGAAAGTCTAGCCTTTGGGCTGCATGCAGCTTCCCAAAATATGGGGTAGAAGGGAGGTGCAACCATTTGGGGTCTGTGCAGTTCCAGGATCCCAACCCAGCGTGCAGGAAAAGTGAAAAGAAGGTAAGCAGAAAAAGAAAAAAATAACATATGAAGTGTATCATTAAACGATCCCCACAAAATTAGCCAAGTTGGTTTCAACCCCCCCCCCCCAAAACAAAAAATAACCTTGAAAAGAGGTGTTAGTAATAAAGCACAAATGAAACAAAACACTAAACAAATGCTAGCGGCAATGATGGACTACTAATGGTAATGAAATCAAAGTAGGCTGTTTAAAACTTTGGGATATAATGAATCTTAATATATACTTCCTAGTGACAAGCTACTAAATGCAGTGTCTGCCATGGTTTCAAATATCACAGGACAACTATTTTCTTGCTAGCAGCAGCAGCAAAACCCCTGCTCGTTTGCCCCTTCCACCCTTAAATAGGACTCTGAAATAGTATGCAGCCTACCTGCCTGAGCTACTCCATGAACTACTAGCTGGATATGTCTGTCCACCTGGCTCAGAGGACGACTGGAATCGACACTGCGACAAGAGGCAGTGTCCAGGGATGAGCGAGATGCCTATCAAGAAGAAAGGAAGCCTGAGAAGAAGTAGCACCCTAGTCCTCCACAAAAGAGAACAGAGCTCATGTTGAATGCTACTTGCACTCAAGAGGGCAGAGGGGTCCCCATCAAGGAAATAAAACTCACATTCAGGTCCTCAGTGTATATGGGCTCTTGGCTGCGTGAAAGTGCCAGCGAACGGCATGCAAGACTCTGGATTTCACCTTCCCCAAACTTCCCACTTGATGTTGTTTCAGAGAGTCTGGAGTAGAACAACAAAGAGGACAGAGGTTAGGCCAAAAAGAATGGCAATGAAGAAATTTCCAAAGGCTGAACCAGAGACATTAGCTAAATGGGAGACCACAACTCAAGTTGATTTGTATGCTAGTGGAGTGAATCCTGAAAATATTTACATATATGCTTTGAGATTTTGCAGTGAGAATTTGTAAACTTACCGCAAGTAGAAAACAGACTTGGTTGAGCGCTCCTGGTAAACAAACATATTCTTTCTATTAACAATAGAGAAGGCATTGAGTACAGAACGTAGGGCTTGGATGGCTGCAGAAAGAAATCAAGAGAGAAAGAGCATGTGTGAGAGAGGGACTAAGGCTGTAAGATTTCATCAAGTGGCTGAACCCATGGTTATCTTAATATGCTCATCAAGTTCCTCTCCCTGCCAGTGTTATATCTGAGATATTAATTCCGCTTGTCTTCGATTCAGATCCATTCCTGAAAACCCTCCTTTTTGAAAAATATAAATACCATTTTGATGGTAAGCATTAAGTATATCTATTGGAAAACAAGCATGTACCAACAACAAGAATAATTTAAATTCCATTTTTTCTCTCTAAAAAGAGACTCCTAGAGCTCACAAAAAGACCAATACCATACAAATAAAACCCAAAAATCTACAAACATTAAAATGGAATTACACCTGAACAGTATTAAAAATAAACATAAATGGTTTTCAAGGAAATGTGGTCTTTCTAAGAGAACTTTTATGCTGAAAACATTCCTTCTTGAAATTTGTGATCACACAAATTATCTTAACATCACCACCCCTAGATCTGAAGTCTGCCCTTTTTTTCCAATAATAATAATAATAATAATAATAAATATATAAAATTATAATAATAAAAATAAAAACTAGGCACACTGGTTGCAGTGCCTAAAGAACTTGGCCAGCACAAAATTACCATCTGTCAGCTGCAAAAGGCCACTCTACTGGGATCTGCACACATTATTCGCCGATACATCACACTTGGAAAGTGTCCGACGTGTGATTCAATACAACTGCCAGCAGAGTGACCTTGTTTGCTGTGTTTCAAATAATAATAATACTTTAATGCAGCAGGTTAAACTTTTGAGCTGCTGAACTTGCTGATTGAAAGGTGGTGGTTCAAATCTGGGGAGCGGGATGAGCCCCTAGTGTTAGCCCCAGCTTCTGCCAACCTAGCAGTTCGAAAACATGCAAATATGAGCTCAATAGGTACTGCATCTGCAGGAAGGTAATGGCGCTCCATGCAGTCATGCCAGCCACATGATCTTGGAGGTGTCTATGGGCAACGCCGGCTCTTTGGCTTAGAAATGGAGATGAGCACCGTCCCACAGATTTCGATTCGAGTAGACTTAATGTCAGGGGAAACCTTTACCTTTACTTTGATAATACTTTATTTGTATATCGCCCTATCTCCCCAAGGGCACTAAGGGCAGTTTCCAACACAGAAGGAAAAACATATGAAGACTGTGGCAGTAGTGCCTGGTCTATATCCTTATCCTAGACTTTCTTCATATCTACCCTGTCTCTTTCACTAACCCTACCTTCATTCCAGTTGCAACACTTAAATGGAATTGTCAATAGTCTGCCACCTAAAGTGACATTATGGCAAAAGAACCCACTCCATGGCAAGATCTGGGCATTCCTACATTCCATGTGGGATTCACTACAAACCTCAGCACTAGTTAGTGCTGTTCTATATTTAGAAGCTTACCACGTGCAACACCCATATTGGGCCCCATCTTGAGTCTTGAATGTACATGAATAGTGGTGCTCCAGACTGCATCACAAGCAAAATGTCCAGGCATGAACTGCATTGTGGCTGCAAGGTAGTCACGCGGCTGGTAGCTCTCCTCTCCAGGATAATCTGCATCGGGAAAAACTCTAATCAGCTAAAAAGACTTCTGTTGTTCAACAGATTGCCCAAGTATCCAGGTTGCAATTTCCCTTCCTCTTATACAAAATCAAAATAATAAAAGTTTAAGAAGAGAATCTATTGATCTTGTGCTGAAAAGAATGGGAATATAGTAAATTACAATGAAGAAAATGAAAGGGTAAGTCCAGCGAATTCTCTATCCACTTACAAGGTAGTAGTAGAACAGAGGAGGAATCTCCCTCTGTACACTGTGGGAAACCTGCATATTGAATAGGCAAATTCCTATATAAGTACCCACAGAGATGATGGGAAGACAGAAACTCCAAGCTGTAAGGCCCTCTATGGGGAAAAGAAACACAATGCACTCATGTGCACACTATTTGAAGTACCCACCATCAGTCCCAGTGCGCTGCCGGTACGTATAGGGGGTTTCGCTTTTCCAGATATCCTCCTCACTTTCAGCAACCAGCAGAGAATTGCAAATATGACTGTCATGCAGATCTTGTAGAAGCAACCGCTGAAGACAGAGGAATAGGACAGCAAAGATGGGACTGATGCTGCCAAGCCATCTTCAATTCAGTTTTCTCCCTCTTAGCAGCAGCTGATAAACATGTCTAAAGTCTTGGAATCTGTACCTACTTTATATTCAAGAAAAGCATGCCTGCATGAGTGTGATCACAGCAAGTTTTATAGAATTTGGTGCATTTACATACCACCTTAAAACCCCCAACTTCCTTTATTAAAAAAGGTTGAATTCTCGGTCCTCAAAATTTCAAATCAAAAGAGGTAAGTATACAAAATTTTAATTATCAAGTATGTCAGAAATATTAAAAATTAACTAGGTATTTTTAATTACAAAAATGTGAGACAGGCACTGAAAGAGTTAAATGGATGCAATGACTCAACAAAAGCTGTAGTTCAATATAAGCAGGTATGCCTGTAGCTTAGTATACCTCAGTGTTAGTTGCCCTCTGTATGAGAGAGGCCTCAGTGTGAGGTAAACCTCAGTGTTAGTAGGCCTCAGAGTTAGTAGACCTCAATGAGAAGCTTTGGTAAGAGAAGCCCTAGGTTGAAGGCCTCATGTGTAAAGCTCCAGTGTGAAGGCTGCTGTGTGTAAAAGGCTACTATGTGAAGCTCCTGTGTAAGTTTAGTGTGAGAAGAGACTCCGAGAGCGAAGCTTTTTACCTGAATGAGAAAGAAGCCTAGCATGGATGCAAAGAAGGAAGTATAAAAAAATTATTTGTGTTATGGAAACTTTGTTCTTGTAAATAATGCAACCATATTATTTTGCAATAAAGAAAAGCCTCCTAAGAGAGATATAATATTGGTCTGTGTATTTTTGTTCATTTTATCACTTTTGGCTACTGCTGCTGCTAATAAGTTACTCTGCTAAACATTTATGAGGAGGATCTTTTGTTAATAAGCCCCCTCACCCAACAAAGTATCTGTTCAAAAAAGGAGTTCAAATTTATTTAATTTATTGATCAGTTCAAGGTGGCTTACGATGATTTTTTTTAAAAAAGTAACATAAAACATTGACAAAAGTTAAAAAGAATAACATCACAATATTATTTAAAAACCTGATTAATATGTTTAAAACACTTAAGACAATGGGTGAAATTGCATAAAATTCCTAAATTGCACCATTTAGAACCTTCCAGAGAGCCAGTGTGGTGTAGTACTTTGAGCACTGGACTATGGCTCTGAAAACAAGAGTTTAAATCTCCACTCAAATATGGGAACCCACAGGGTAGCCCTGGGCAAGTTACACTCTTTCAGCTTCAGAGAAAGGCAAAGGCAAGCTGCCTCTGAACAATTTTTAGCAAGAAAGTTCTATGATAAATTCACTTCAGGTTGCCATAAATCAGAAATGACTTGAAGGCATTCAATAAGAACCTGCCCTCCAGAATTTTTGCCTTCCTTTTCTTGGGTGCAGAGGTGGGGCATGAAGCCTTGAAAGGTTTAGGAGAGGGCAAAAATGGCCCCAGGCCTCTGAAGTTCTTCAGACTCATGTAAATACTCTGAGATTAGAAAAGATCAGAGTGATGCCTCCAGTGGCCAAAGTTAGTGTGCTTTGAATTCACTCATTATTTGCCAAAATCAGTTAAAATTGGCTGTCACCAACTTGCAGAAATACACTTTACTGGTTGAAGACCTCTGCTGTTTAATCAGTACTTCAAGCTGATTAAACCGAAGAGCATATTCCTGCCAGCTAAGAGAAAGTGCGCTCAGCATGCATGTGCTCCTACGTACCTGGTTTACAATGCGGCAGATTTCACCAACCTTCTTCACCACAGTATAGTGAAGACGCTTACATTCCCCTTCCTCATTCTGTGTTGCTTTCTCTGCACTTGTGCTGCTACTGCACAGAAAGAAAAGAGGGAGTTCTCAGAAAAGTGTTTACTTCTGGAATTAACAGGTTAAATGGATAGTATTCCTTGTATCCCTGAATATAGTTGGACAACAAAAGAAGTGATGGGACAAAAGCTACACAGGTGCTGGAGAAGAATTTGCTCGGGGAAGTATTTACCATATTTATATGCCACCCCTCCCAACCCGGAGGCGAGTCGAGGCGGTTTACAATCCGCAGTCAATGCCCCCGAACAACAAATGCAGTTAAAAACATTACATATAGTATAAACCATATAAAAGCAATAAAACAATAAAAATCATAAAACACAAGTCCTCAGCGTCTCATCACTAAAATCATTTTTCTGTTGCACTGTCCAAGTAAATTGGAGATTTGTAGTTAGCAGGACCTATACTCAGGTCATGGATATATTTGCATTCTTCTCTTCCTCTGCTGTGCCCTCACCTGGGCACAAATCTGGCAGTCAAAGCTTAGCTAAAGTCATGCTGGAAAAACTGAAATGATCAAAGGTCTGGAAAACATGTCCTATGAGGAGCAGCTTAAGAGTGGGATATGTTTAGCCTGCAGAAGAGAAGGTTGAGAGGAGACATGATAGCTATGTTTAAAAATCTGAAAGTATGCCATAAGGAAAAGGGAGCAGGTTTGTTCTCTGCTGCCCTGGAAACTAGGCCTCAGAGCAATGAGTCCAAGAAAGGAGATTCCACCTGAACATTAAGAAGAACTTCCTAACAGTCAGATCTGGTTGACAGTGGAACTCTTTGCCTCAGAGTATGATAGAGAAGAAGCTCCTTCTTTGGAGGATTTTAAACAGGCTGAATGGCCATCTGTTGGGGGTGCTTTGATTGTGCATTTCCTGCAAGGCAGGGAGTTGGACTAGATGGCCCAATGTGGTCTCTTCCAACTATGATTCTAACTAGGAATACACACAGAAGCCGGTTGCAACTCCAAAATCAAAAGTAAGTAGACTGCATAGTAAAAAGTCACATCTGCCGTCTTAGGAATCAAACACTAAGGGTAAGGTGAGAAGCTTTAGAAAAAAGGATGTTACCGTGTGTGTGAGTAGATTTCCACCCGGTCCTGGTGGATCTTTACGATCAGCCAGAAGTCAGGCATGAGGGGGCATCTGGGTTCCAAGTCACTCATCACTACATCTTCGCATTCAGAATCACTGCTGCCACCGTCATAGCCTGGAAAATGAAAATGTATCCCACTTTTGGTGAGTGTCTCATACAATCCACACTTGACAACAAGCAAATTGTACAAATGGGCTCTTGGGAACACCATGTTGTTCTCTTTTGCAAGCCTTTGTCCACAAAATGCTAAAATTAAGCCTTATTCAAAAGCTTTCCCACCCTGGAAACCTCAAGAAAGCTCTAACTGCTATCACTTCCAACCCAGTCCATATGGTTACATTTGTCTGATGCCAAGTTGGAAAATTCTGTCATAAGTCACCAATTATCTCCTAGATACATTATTTCTCTTCCTTTCCACAAGGACAGCCCTCCTCGTGCACTCACCTAGGAGATCAGAATCCATACTACCCTGGCTTGACACCAGGCTCTGAACCCGGCTGGGGTATTGCTTTCCACAGCCTGTAGAGAAAGAGATCAGATGTTTTTGAAAGTCTGGATCTCCCAATAATTTCCTACATATAAGTTAGAGATCCAACTGGCTATGTGCACCACAAGCATTAAAGAACAAGATTTAAACAAAAATGGTGTAAATGCTACAAAAATGCAACAAACCGGTTGAATTTATCCCAGAAGCTACATAGATTGTTTGATGCAACTAGCCAAGTAGCATAAACTCTCTAAAGAAACACAAAAACAAGACGTGACAACCTTTCAGAGTTTACAGTTTTATGAGTCTCACAGCAATTAAGTTGTTTTTAGGTGATAGAAAAATCAGTATTAAGAGTACTGCTACAAAGAAAGGAACTCTAACAACTAGCCCTAGAGAAAGAAGAATCATAAGTTGCTTACCTGTAACTGTGGTTCTTTGAGTGTCGATCTGTGAAATTAGCACTGATGGGTC